CCTGGTCCTGGGAGTGTGAGGCACTGTTGCCACCCCCCTCCTTTATTTTTATTTTTCCTGGAGGTTTCTTCCGCACCATTAGTTAGGCACTGGTGCCGTTTCAGGTAAAGTAGGAGACCGAGTTGTCAAGTTTCTGTACTGGCTTGTGTGGCTTAGCTGGCTAAGTGTCTGTGCTTGTGATCAGAAGGTCATGGGTTCAAGCCCAGTCTTGGCTTGTCTGTTGGTTTATAGGAAATGAAGGGTTAAGGGTTGTGTATTGTTATTATAAGTCTTGCTGCTCTCACACTTGTTTAATAATAAGGTGGGGGCCCTAAGTGTGGCAATAGATTTTTTCCTAACTGTATGTTTGGGGTGGTGGTTGTGCATGGGGAGGAGAGGCTTGAACCCTGGTCCTGGGAGTGTGAGGCACTGTTGCCACCCCCCTCCTTTATTGATCCCTGTAATGGATCAATTGATTTATTGATTGATGTAATGGAAAGTTGAGGTAGAGTGAATATTAGTATGTTCTGTGTGGTTGTAATACACCAAAATGCAACAATGCTTCTATCCAAATCGAGTGCTTTTGTACATACACTCAGTATCTAGTTTATTATTTACCTCTACGTATTACCAGCTAGGCTTCAAGAACCACTTCAAAGGTAGAGGTGTTCAGCGATGGCTTTCTGCAGACCCCTGTTGTACTGAGGAGTTTATTTTTTACGCTTGTGGCCTTCCTGTTGTCTAGTCTGACCATTCTCCTGTGATCTTCTGCAACTGAACTGCCACAGACTGGATGTGTTTTTGTATATCGCTCCATTTCCTGTAAACTCTAGATATTTTAGTTTGTGAAAGTCACAGGAGAAACAGGCTGTTTGCCTTAATAGCCGATGTACCTAGAAGTGGTCGTTCATATTGTTCTTTGCCATTCTGTAAGGTACAGTATTTTAGTTGGTATATTGGTTTCTGTTGTTCTTGCTCTTTGAATATTGAATCTTTTGGAACAATCGTTTCCATCTTTCAGTTCCTTACCTACAACACCGCCTGGTACCTTGAAGCGTTTTTCTTGTTCTAGCCCTGAGTGTTATCTTGTGGTGCTTAACCCAGACCTCAGTGCCGTGTGTGGGAGTGGGCCAGTTCCGCTGTCCACTGGTGGTGACGATGCTGCCGGTGCCCAGGGAGAAGCTGGATGCGGCTTCGCAAGTCACACACCTGGCTCCGCTGGCACACGGAGCGCCCATCCACATTGGGGACCCAGGTCAGTGCACTGCCTTCTGGGATACAGGGAGCGCCCATACACATTGGGGACCCAGGTCAGTGCACTGCCTTCTGGGATACAGGGAGCGCCCATACACATTGGGGACCCAGGTCAGTGCACTGCCTTCTGGGATTCCTAGCAGTGGATTATCAAATCCGTTATTCGTCATCCTCTGGATGAGTCTTTGCACCCATGGTTACCGTGTTGCCGATGAGTCCCAGCTGTTGTGTATCTGCATCACACCCGCAGCTCCACTCGGGATACAGGATCTGTCCCAACCGGAGTACGGCGATGCAGTGGACCCTGCTCCAGGGGATGTCCCTGTCTTCTGGGCTTGTGGGGTGACTGGTATTGAAGCCATCAAGAGCTGCAGTGAGTAACGTGAGGATTATCAGAAGATTCAAAGCTAAGAACTCCCTGTACTGAAACTTATGCCCTTAGTTTTACATCCAGTTTTCCCAGTTAGTGGGCAGTTTTTATACCCCTTCGTAACAAATGACTGCAGTTACAGCATCGTAAGGCAGTATTTCCGTGAGGAACAGTAACAGTGAGATTCTAACTCGCCTTCGTTTTAGCTCATCCTCAGTTTGTCTCTACAGAATCCCCGCTGGCATTTTCCCATGCACCCGGCTGCATGTTCCTCAGCGATCTGGAGACCTTGTCCACCGCGCCTCCTTCTGACCCCAAGCAATGTGCCCAGACCTTCTGCATCTCCGAGAAGCTGCCGCACTACAGCCTGGTGTCCAAAGCAGCCGTTCACCAGATCCAAGACCTGGAGCACCTCATCGGAGAAGACCCAGGTATCCCACAAAGCAAGAATGTTCGTGAGCACAATGAGCGAGACGGATTAACTCCTGCGAATACACAGCAATACTTACACCATCCCATCTCCCTCTACTGGTTTTCTATACTGGTACATAAAAGCAAACTTTGGCACACCTATATGCTGTCCATAGACAAAAATAGGTTAAACTGTTAAGCTGCTGTAGTTAACTGAAGATAATCATAATTGATCCTTTATTGATCCCTGTGGGGAAATTCTTTTTACGCCTCCCTCAACTTGCTCTTTGTAGAGTAAGTTGTCCGCAAAGGGCAGCCACCCGCAGTAGCGCCCAGGGAGCTGGGGGTTAAGGGCCTTGCTCAAGGACCCACAGACATACTGAGGCTGGGTTTGAACCGGCGACCTTCTAATCACAGGCACACAGGCTTAGCCCACTGAGCCACACGCTGCCCCCATGTGAAATCGGAGAAATGAGAAAAAGACCTGACTCGGTGTTTTCCTTGTACCGATGCTCTGCTCTGCTCCAGGACAGAGGGGTATCCAGGCCCTCTTCATCCAGGATGAGCTCCTGAAGTCCTGCTTGTCCTTGTCTCACGCCTCCTCTGTGCTCATCACCACCGGCTTTCCTACCCACTTCCAACACGACCCCCCCGAGGAGACGGACGGCCCCCCTGGGGCTGTGGCCATGGTAGCCATGCTGCAGGCCCTCGGGAAGCGCGTGGCCATCTTAACAGACCAGCGCGCCCTGGACATGCACCGAGGGATCATGGAGGATGCCGTGAAGAAGGGTGAGAAGGACGACACTGGGGTGAAGTGCTGGTGTTGCTGGAGTCCACCTGCTTAGGTGCTGGTCAGGCCGTCTATATTTGTCTGCAGCATTCCCAGATATCTCAGTGTCCTAGTCCTTCTAAAACGGAACATCTTGTCTTCATTTTTTATATACATTATATCCATCAATCTCTCTCCTGTAACTTTATAGGGTTGTGGTAATTTTATACATTTGCTCAAACTTTTTAGTTCAGCAGGGCTGTCTTTCATCATGGGATGTAAGATAGAGTATATTTAGATTTAGAGTATATTTAGTAACACCATCTCTCTCCTCTATAGTATTAATTATCATGAAATTGTTAGGGATTTGAAAGCCTTTGAATGCTGTTCCTATGTAGCTGTTTTCTATCAAAAAGGGAAGTATGTGACTATGGCACTTGACTGTAAATCATGAACAGATCAGATTATATAATAGAAGGAACAGTAGCAGTGTTTGACTTTAGCTATAAAGTAATTAATATATAATAAATAATGTGAACACACACTTCACTGTATAACACTGAGGTCACTCTCCAGGTATAATAAAGACTGAAGTACCTCTACTCAGCTTCCAAAAAACATCCTCGGAGTCTGCACTCCACTTCCTGTGCCACGATGGGGACCCTGGGAAGCCCAGGTCTGCTCGACAAGGCCTAACGACTGTTTCTGCAGGATCACTGCTTTGCGGCAACAAGTCCAATCATAACACCAGTTAAACTTTTTGCACGAGTTAATGAAATGTTCTTTGCTCATTTTATCGACTAAAATAAACAAACAGTTCTTATCCTTCAGAAATTAGTAATATAGTTCTCTGGGGTTACCTTTAATTAAAAAAATAATAAAATTTGTTTTTTGGGTTAGGATTGTGATCTCATGCCTTTTCATTATTTTGTGATTGCTGCTATTTTCAGGTTTGACCACTTGGTGGCGATAGAACGTAGTGGCAGAGCAGCAGATGGGAACTATTACAACATGAGGGGAATAAACATCAAGCACCTGGTGGACCCTATAGATGACCTCTTTGTAACAGCCAGCTCCATCCCCGGGATTAGCACCACAGGTACAGAAATGCACAAAACGTCCTCTGTTATTTTGCTGCACGGAAAAATATGCCGACTGTGTTACTGTCTTATAAGCAGACCTTTATTATCAACGTTGCGTTTTTTCCTTAATAGTTACTGTACATGAAGAGGTTGATCGATATGGGTTTTTCAGTGGCCGATGCTGTTTTTTTTTTGGGGGGGGGGGGGCATGGTGATATTAGACCGTTTTTTTTAGAACAATATCAAATTAATGACATAACTGTACTTAAAATATTAAACATTAATAAGACACAAAAACTCTAAATATGAATCACAATTTAAATAAAGGCATGCAGCATTTTAGAAGTAACAGATAATAGTAACAAAATTGTTTCAAAATTGAGATTGTTTCGGCTTATTTGTGATGTTATCCATCAACTGAAACTGATTTAAAACAGCAGACGTTTCTAACTCTTACCTTTGGTCATCGCACAGGTTCGCTGTAGGGTCTGTAAAGCACAGCACTGCCGGGGAGAGTGTTGCGTGTGGCTGTGTGTCAGTCATGCACAGCCATCACTATATCAGCCATGCAGTCGGGTAATGCTGATTGCCATAGGATGCTTAAAAATCAGCCAGTTTACTTACATGCAGGCTCCACGCATGGACAGATCGCTGGTAGGAATCTCACCCATAGCCTTGGAGATGTGAGGCCATAATAACTACTAAGACACGACGCTGCCCTAAGTTAAACAGTTTTTGCTGATATCCATTTGTCATATCAGATGTAACACAATTAAGATCTATAAGACACTTTTTAGGATGACATTGTGAGTTATTGGTCACCTCCAGGTAACCCATGTTCCTTCTGCAATACAAACACTGGCATTCCATTCCAGTGTCCCCTCTTTTCTGGATTATATCTGGATGGATGGATATCAGACTTCTTATTGCCTAATTAGTCTTTATCTCTATTTCACAAGCAAATCCTTGGCTCCGAAGTATTATTGAATTATGTCTTTAGTATGCACTTGGATCGCCTTTGGTTCTTCTACGATGGGCATTGCTAACAAGGGGTCCGTCGATCTCACAGGGATAGGGGACGGGGGCAACGAGCTGGGCATGGGCAAGGTGAAGGACGCTGTGAGGACATACATGCCGAACGGGAACCTCATCGCCTGTGACGTGGCCGCCGACTTTGCCGTCACTGCAGGTAGACCCAAGCCCTGGCACGTTTTCGGCCCGCCCTCTTTCCTCTGACCTGCTGTAGGCATAACATCAAAACTGTATCTAAGGCTTCAGACCTCACCTTCAGAGGTCTTGTAGAGCCCATACCTCAATTGATCAGAGCTGTTTTGGTGGCACGATATTAGGCAGGTCGACACTTTTCTGTATTGTTTCGTTGACTTTGTCTCATGGTCTAGTGAACCTTCTTATGCTTCTACAGTAAACAGACACCTGGCGGCTGGGGGGGGGGGCAGGGGGCATCATGGCCTCATGCTTTCCCTTTGTGTATTTCTTTCTGGTGATCCAGGTGTGTCGAACTGGGGCGGATATGCGATAGCCTGTGGTCTATACATCCTCAGTCTCTGTCCGGTCCATGAGAGGTACCTCCGGAAGGGTCTGGGGACTCCGCCCTCCCCTGACCAGCAGGAGATCTGGGCAGCCAGCCTTCCCACAGTTGATAAGGTATGACGGCCCCCTGTCCTTGAACTTCATGTCGATGGGCAATGAGCATGGTGACCACAGAGCTGACACGTCTAGCACAGCACTAGCATGCTACAACAAAGTCAGTCAAGAGAAAGTAATATTATCTCTTTCTCATCACGTAGACCGAGCCATATCAGTTGGTAGGTTTCACACTTGCAGTAGCACTAACAACAGCTTTGCAACTTGTATTTGTTAGTGGTCTCGAGGCAGCAGACATCTTCCACAGATGTAAAGCCACTGGCAATGACCAAATGCAAGCTCATCTTGTTCTCCCCTAATTCTCTGCCACTAGGAGGAGGACTTCTTGTCCATCTTGGTGAAGTATGGTGTCCGCAGTGGCAAAACAGCAAACCTGGGCCTGGAGGTGGACGGTCTGCCCTTTCATCCCACCCACGCCACCATCATTCAGAAGATGCGAGACATTACCTATTTCCCCAACCCACCACTAGCCTGAAATACTTGCTAAAACTACTCTGACCTCAGGTCCCTAGTAGTAATACTGAGAAGAGGTTTAGACCAGAGAGGAAACACTCTACTAAATGTACAGTCAGACTAACACGAAAAAATATTGAACTCTCATTCAGATCCATTGTACCTGCTCAGTGCAAGAATCAATAAATTTGCTTCTGGAAGAGAAGTGAATTTGCAAGGCATTTTTAAAATAACCTTGACCCCTGAATTTGTGTTGCTAAACCAGTCTGGTGTGGGGTGGGTGGGGTTGACCCCCCGTTTTACTGAAGTGCAAAATAGAGGAAGGTACTTATTTTATGCAAACTCCATTTGTGTTGTTATGACAAGAAATAACCAGTACATTATTACTTGTTATCGCTAATGCATACTTGCAAACCAGTTATGTCAATTCTTGTTTGTAATACATTGTTAGCTAGCATGATTGTCGCGTATCTTGGTATTTTCAAATGCATCGCCATTGTGGAATGCCCCACAATATAATTCACGATTGAAAATACCAAAGTATACCCAATCTAGAGTGGTATGTTGTATTATCTGGTCATACTGCTTTACTCTGCAAAGTAAGTTAGTTTCGCTTTACTCTGCAAAGACACTACATATTTTTAACTCTAGTGTGATTGTATCTTAAACCATTTAGTGATATGAGGTCTTTTTTTTTGTCACTCGAAGTGCTACAGTAGTCAACATCACTGTTGCCCTTCTGCAAATTTGGTAGAATTTAGCAGAAACACCATTTTCAAGACCCGGGAAGACATTCCTCACCCTAAATGTGTACTAATACAAAGTTACACTAACAAAACCAAAGCTGTGTTATCATATCATAAAGCCAAGCATGTTAATCCTGAGGATCTTACTAAATTAATTCTGATCCTCTTCCTGCTTCTACTGCCTCATTTGATGTCTTAGTTGGCCAGTACTATGACCATTTATCCTCTGAATTTTTTAAATAAATAATAATTGATACTTTATTGATCCCTGTGGGGAAATTCTCTTTATGCTTCCCCCAACTTGCAATTTGTAGGCAAGAGTAAGCTGGCTGTGAAGGGCAGCCACCCGTAGTGGCGCCCAGGGAGCTGGGGGTTAAGGGCCTTGCTCAAGGACCCACAGATATGCTGAGGCTGGGTTTGAACTGGCAACCTTCTGATCACAGGCACAGCTCACTGAGCCACATGCTGCCCCCTTTTAACACCTTGTCAACTTTGAAACGGTTTCTTTTACTATTTTTTGTTTGAACGGTTTCTTGTACCCATATGCCTCCCTGATATACACCAGAACTTCACAAGTTCGCGGCCTTAGGCTGGAGCGGTCATATGCTAAAACTGGACTTACTGCACACAAGCGCATGTATTCATAACATACACTTCATTACAAAATGCCCTCTCTGCAGCCAAAATTGCTTAATGTGCAAATATCATCAGTGCAGGTTAAGGCAATAGAAGAACTCTGTTTTTTTTTCTTTTCAAATAATATTCACTTATTTAAACTAATTATTCGTAAGTCCACTGCATCAACCTGTGAGTTGGATCCTGTGCCTACAAGAGTAGGTACAGCATGCTTGCCTACTATCATTTCCTGGATAACAGTCACAGTGCCTCACTCACCACTGGTAGTTCCCCACCCCACACTGAAATTTTCCCTCACTAGACCTACCTTTAAAAAAAAACCTGGCTTCAGACCCTGATGATTGTAATAATTATCAACGTATTTCCAATCTGCCGTTCAATTTTGATATTCTTGAAAGGGTTGTTGCATCTAAACTTCAATTTCACCTTGATAATACTAATGTCTTTGTATTATTTCAGTCTGGTTTTCACTCCAAATAGCACTTAAACTGACCTACTTAAGATCACTAATGACCTCCATGCAGCTGAGTGGTCTACTCTCTCTCCTTATCGTCATTAACCTGCTTTTGACACTATATCCCATCAACTCATTATGGAATGACTGGCTAGCATTGAAGTCTATGGTACTGTGTATTGATGGATTGATTCCTACTTCACTGATGGGACACAGTATGCTAGAATACAGAATTACCTGAGAATTCAGTAGTTTGCCATGGAGTTCCACAGGGTTCAGTATTAGGGCCACTCCTCTTCATCGTTTACCTGTCTCCCTTGGCATTATCCTCCGTCACAATGCAGTAACCCATTCACATTTGTGAACATGCCATTTGCAAGTTTGGTTATTACCGATTTGGCCGTGAACAATTAAACAGGATCTTGCAGATGATGCCTAAGCCAAAAAAACAATACTGAAAATGATTCAGATTACATAACACCGTATAAATCATAAAAATTAGTAATACATAACATCTGTTAGCGTAAGTACATACTACATCTTTAATATTAAAAGTCTTGGTGTGGGTACATCACATATCTGTCTCGGTAACCAACCTCACATTGCTTGCAGTGACTTTTAAACTTTTCAGTACTGTTAGTTTTGCATGTTTAATAATGGGTCCAAAATGTACTGCTCCCAGCCTGTAGTTAATCTGTACATACAGCGGCATAACTTAGATAGTTTGTATTTAATATAAAAAGGTCTAGATAGGAAATAAAGCAATATTACATGCAATTGTACAATACAGTATTTGTTTAGAAATTGGTAATAGACTTGTTATATTATCGTTCAGGCTAGCAGACTTGTATGAGTTGAGGTTATGGGTGAACAAGTATTATTCATGAATTTTCACATTCGCAGGGATCTTCCGTCTCTAACCCTCGCAAATGTAAAACGGTTACTAATATTCATTGTTACTGGTATGCTGATGATATGCAACTCTACATATCTACAAAACCTATTTCCATTCTGCCCCCAGTACCCCCATTGCATGTCTCTCAGACCCAACAATAATAAACTATTCCTCACTGGGTCTACATCAACATTGGCAAAAATACATAGCTTCACAGTATCTATCACAGATTGCACCCATTTCATCTCAGGTGTTACTGTGTTGGTGTTATACTAGATATCTCTCCCTCCTTCACTGCTCACATAAATGTTTCTTGGAATGGCTTTTTCCATCAGCATAACATATCTAGACCGCCCATCTGTAACACAACAGTGCAGAAGTTTTAGTCAATGCCTTAATTACGTCTCACATTGACTATTGCTATGCTGTTTTGGCTTGCACTCCTAATAAACGTCTTCACTGGCTTTTACTCATTCAGAGCTCAAGGATTCAGAACAGCAAAGATTATTACATGCTTCGAGTCCACTGAAGTTCACCGACTCCCTGTGTCTCGTCTGTGTCACAAATTGAAAATTTACTGGTAACGCTACGGCCCTTCTGAACCTGGTACCAATCTATTTGCAATATACTAAAAATATTATGGTTGACATTTCATAATACTTCTGTATGACCCATCAGTGGAAGGTGTCCAAACAGTATTTTTACATGCTGTTGTCTTTGTTAATTCAATTATTCAGTGCCTAGTACAAATGCTTCTTCACCAACTTGAGCTCAGTAAAAGAGGGAGGAGTTTTCCCTTAGTAAGCCGCATGTGTACGTTTATGTGTTTGTATGCTTGTTTCTGTTTGAACACATTATTTGAAAGCATTGTGTGCATGAACACCAGCTGGAACAAAACAGTAAACAGTCACTGTGACAATGACTTCCCTCAGCAAAGGGAAGAGTACAGTGATTGTCATTATTGGTACAGCCAGCCCTGAACTTCATGAGATAGACAATAGGCCTGAGATTGTTCTTTCATAACCAGTGACAGAAGGACAGCAAGGGACAGCGTCACATTCCTCAGCTGTGATCCCGCCTTACTGAGCAGGCGAGCGGCTGTCGATTGCCATATACACACCAGAGATCAGCAGGCAAGTGAAGTCACTGATGATGAGTGAGTCAAGGCAGGAATGGGTTAATCCATCATTAAGTTCAGCGTCTCACTCAGCCTGTCTGTGCTGGTTTCCCAGATTTCCGTCTTCATTGAGGACAAAGCTCTTAATGCACCTGTCATGTTATATATAAGGATTATACGACAAAATATTCAAAAAATGCATAACCTGGGGTTCACTAGAAATGACTGCTCTTAACCATGACACTAGCATATGCAGAAAGATCATGAAAAAAACCCACACCACACTACCCACTGCGAGCAGTGACGGTCTACTGCACTGCCAGTGTGCCATCAGTTCCTCTTCTGTAAAAGCAGAAATATCACCTACCGATAATATCAATATTATAGGTTTCTAACAACAGAGAATACAAACACACATCAAGTTCTGTTATAGCTAAATCGTTTTTTTTTTTTTTTTTTTTTTTTAAAAGAAACTTTATACTTTATTAGATTTTTTTTTTTTTTACATAATATTACCTTCTACCCAAGTCTTTTAAACATGTACATTAGCAGGGTAAGCAGTTTGGGCAATTATTCCAAGGATATTATAGCATTTGTGTAATGCAGAACTGAAAGTAGGGCGAAACACACACACAAAGTAATTATGCAAATAAATGACATTTCAAAATGGTTAAAAGTGCAAATATACTGTCACTATACATATATACAATCTTATATTGAGGCTGTACAATGAAGAGCAAGTAATTCACAAGATGCTTATAGTAATGTGAATGTTTCTGAAGAAGACCCTTTGCTGTGCATTAAAATATTTTCCTCCACGAAAAACACTGAAGGACTCGAACTCCAATACCCAACCTTGACATCTATAATACTTTCACATATGTGACGTGTATTTACGGTACTACTCAGAGCTGGGCAGGGACTGTGCTTTGCTCACTGTCTTCTCTTATTCTATAAAAACCAAAAGTATTGGCTTGAGGCAAAGTATCAAATACTCTCCAAGTGCAGTTAGCAACCACGGTCATTCAGTCTGGTCAGTTTCTACACATTTGACCTTTGTAAAATAGCTTGAAATAGGCCAGTTTATTCACTACCATATTCTCTGCCTCCCCCAGGGTGCCAAAGCTCTGGCAAAGTCATCTAGGTTGCACAGCCTGCTGGGGAAGAATAGCTCTCACCCCACACACTCTCTGTGAGTCTCTGTCGGCTGCCTCACGTCCCTTCGCTGTAGAATTCTCTAATATCAAAGTGCCTGTGCTTTTGGTAGATTGTAAACTCCTGGAATTAGAAGGTAAGGGTCATCCTACCTGAATGCCTTTGTCTGATAACCAGGTGCGTAGTTTGTTAGCCTGACCAGCAACTGGGCAGGAGGCAGGAAACATTCTGGACAAGATGTTACAGGGCAGCGTTTCCCAATCTGGTCCTTGGGAACCAACGTTTTTGCTCCCTATCAGGAGCTGGAAGGGAGCAAAAACATGGACCTTCAATAGATCTCCTTGGACCGGATTGAGAAACACTGTTATAGGCTAAAGTCAAAGTATGATTCCCGAACACCTGAGATCAAAATAGAGACTGAAAAGCCCTAAGCACTGGAAAGCTGTAGTACAGCCCATTCAATTCTCACAATTTGTTCTTATACAATTGATGCTTATTTCTACTTTTGACACTCATTCTTTTGAAAATGTTATGGAAGATTGCTTGAAATATCAGACAGCATTCTGATGGCTTGTTCAAGCTATAGCGTGAAAACGAACATTACTGACCTACACAATCATCATCATCTACCTGAAGAAACAGATGGACAAAAGGTTTAGAATAGGAAGACTGTCCTTCTGCACACTGTAATGCCATGACAAGAACCTGGCTGGTTCAAAGTGTGGAAATCTACACTCTCAGAAAAAGGGTAAAAATTTGTACCTTTGCTTATTTCTGGGGCTGTACTCTTGTAATTGTACCTTTTAAGGTTCGGATACGGACCCTGAGGAACATCCAGAAGGTACAAACAGCATTAATGTGCCATCAATGGTACAGAAATGTTCCTCAGAGTCCAGATACAATTACCTACAGCTAAGAGTTCAGCTTAGCAGACCATTGAGGGTACAGCCCCAGTGACAAGCAAAGGTACAAACTGTTTTCTCTGAGTGTATACACCATAATGATATGTGGAAGGAAGCCGGAAATCCCTGAGAACGACCATTAAAATACACGTCACTCAAGCTTAAGAGGTTAAATACTGCTGCAGACCCAATGTTTGGTTGCATGACCATCCTTTGATGAGTCTTTTGCTATAAGCCAGTCCAGCACATTAGTGTGGCTGCCAGGCCCAGCCAAACTTTCATTGTCCCTGTAAGTCCTGTTTGGCTGGCTGCTCTACCAGTATCACTCCAGTGCTGTTCTGTATTGTTACGGGGACGTCAGTTGTGTTACTGGGGCTGTTCACACGCGTGCGGCACACCAGTCGTAAGCAGGACTCCTGAGCCCACTGGATGTCGCGCTGGGCGTTCTCACTGACGAAGCAGTAAAGCAGAGGGTCAGCCAGACAATTGAAACTGGTGAGGACGAGCGCAAAATGGTAGTAGTTGAAGATGCTCTCTATGAAGCGGCAGTCCTCCTCAAACACGGTGCGCACCAGCAGGAAGAGGTGGTAAGGGGAGAAGCACACCAGGAAGATCACTATGGTGCTGCTCACTAGGTGCTTAATGCGCCTCTTCTGCGAGCTCTGGGTTCCCACACTCTTGTTCACGGCCCGCAGGACACGCAGGTACGACACGGACAGAATGCTGAGAGGAAACAGGAACCCTACAAAGAAGCGATAGAAGTTGATGGGCCTCTCCCAATCTTTCATTGGGTAATGTTCAAAACAGACCGATTGGTTGGCTACAGCTGGGGTGAGCTCTTTGTGGTAGAAGAAGTTCACGCCCACAATCAGCTCCTTCAGCCAGATGAGAGCACTGGCTATAATGGCTGCCCGCACGGTCCGGAATTTGGCGAAGCCGAAGGGGTAGACGATGGCGAGGTAGCGGTCGATGGAGATGCAGCAGAGGAAGCCGATGCTGATGTAGATGTTCTCATAGAGCAGTAAGCCGCAGAGCTGACAGAGCCACTCCTTGTATTTCCAGTTATCACCCTGGAAGACATACTGCAGCCAGAGGGGCAGCGAGGCCATGTAGAGCAGGTCGGAGAGGGTCAGGTTCAGCAGGTACACGCCCAGCTCATTGCGTGCCCGCAGCTGCTGCCATGCATGGTACAGGGAGTACAGGTTGGCAGGAAGGCCAATCAGCAGCACAAGGGTATAGACTGCAGAAAACAGGTATCGGTGGATCTCATAGCTGAGGGTGCAATTCATAACGTCCTCCAACGTTCCCATAACTTGGAGATTTTCCAGTCTCCCTTCTTAATCCTCAAACTAGGAAGAGGGACAGAAAATAAGATACAAGAGTCCTGAAGTCCATTCCATTGATGTCTGAAAAACAAAAGCAATATTTATGCCTTACTACTCGGGTACAAATCAAACCATTTTGACTGACTAATGAGGAACGAACATCGGATCAGTACGAAACTAACACTTAGTTACTGGGTAATTAATACATTAAGTAATAGTAAAAGTTAGTCTTAATAGGTCCCCGATGTGTCTTTGGGAAGAATATGAAAACTACTAAAATTAAAATGACAGCTTACAGTATCTGAATTGTGTCGCGATGATCTCATCACAAAGACAATACTTACCAAGAAGTATCTAATGAGAAAAACGTTCAAAGAGCCAATATCAAGCAGATAAACGTGTTTTTTACCATAGAGAACCATAAAGCATATACAAGTGGGACCATAATGATCCTTTCCGATGTCTGCAGTCTGGTCAGCTGGTGCAGTTTCAGAAGCTGACAGGAAGATGTACTGTACATGCAGCAATTTTTTATGCTTAGGACAAATGCATCCTACTTCATGGTTGGATTTATGCTTTTGCTGACATGTTTTATAGCACAGTGCAACGGCAATAAGCAGAAACTAATTTCCCAGTTGAGAGTAAATTCAACCTCATTTTAAAGGTAATGCAAGGGTAACAACATCATAAAACTATTTTACTGCCTTGCTAAACATCATCTTTAACAGGGCATTATGGTACTTTCATGTTAATGTAGTCAGAATAGCGACAGTCCATTTTGGGGGGGGGGGGGTTGATGTACAACCAAAGCTAAAACCACATCTATAGCCACAGGCTGTTAACACATTTTCCGGGTACTGGGTTTTGCCAGTACAGTGGTGCACCATTTCCATGCTGCATCATAAATGGGTCGCTATGATTTCTGCGCCCCAAGGACGCAGCTGTAACAGTAACTCACCCTGCAAAGCTCCGACTGTCATTTAAAAACTGGACATGCAACTGGAAACTGCAAGTGTGCCTTCTAAACATGGGTTAAATCAGTAAAATCGCATGGGAACTCACTGAGATCTGCCTCAGGCTAAAACCGGAATTCATCATCTACTGTAGTTCACGAAACGAAAATGAGGCTGACTAATTGTACAAATATAGCAACTGGTCAATGCTTCAAATAAAGCAGCGGACTCTAAATGTGCAAAATGTACATCTGCAACAGCACAAGGAGGATTAAACTCAAAAAATCACTTTTGATTAAAGCATTTGCTAACCTTTTAGAAACCAGACAGTTGCCCAATATCACAGATGATCTGATCCATGATAAAAAAATCTGTTTCATGCAGAAATGCCAGATATGAGGATCTGGCTTCCAAGGGGTGGTCATGCACTTAAAGGATGCCAGGTTCACCTCCCGCGCACATAAATCAACTGATTCATTACAGCATGCATCACACAAGTGTCCGCATCGTGCAGTATCCTGCACACTTCCCCGTGAGTAATCTCTATTTACACACATGATGAACAAGTCCAGCTTGTGCAATTACGTATCCAGGTAATGATTTGCAGTTTTGGATTTCCAGGTCCCCCAGTAATTGACCGAGTGAATGATGCAGCTGGGCTTTTAGTCAATAGTCAGTTGGCCGAGGGGGGAAAAAAAAATGACCTTAGCAAAAAAATTGGATTCCTTAAGTGTACTTGTGCATCATAATTTTGAAAATAATAGAAATAGATTGAGTGAGGCGCCAAACAATGTTTACAAATCTTTGGTTGTCCTTGGTGAATGTGCATTTGCTCTGAGAATAATTCTGTCTAAACACAGTTTTTTGTCATCAGAAGAGGCAAATGAGTTTCCCGATTTCAGCTAGAAACGAAATATAAATAATAAAATTGCAGATATTCAGTCATAGAGGAACGAAAAATCTGAGCACAAATGCTTAATATCACAGGAACTTTCCCATAAAGAAGTGGCGAGCGAGTTGGACTTTCTTGATTTCAACTGGGAACCAAATTATGCACTGCAGGCATTTTAGTGATAGAGGAAACGAAACAAATCGGGGTGAAACTCACTGCATAAGCTTTCCATCATTTCCTTGACAAATACTTAATAGCACATCACCTTTTCCTGAAGCACCCCCACATCTAGCAGAGCAGTGCCGACGAATCACTTTTGCTCAATATCTTTTTTATTTATGGAATTCAAAATATCTGCATGCAGTTGAAGACTAATGTCTTTCGGTGACCAGTACTTGTTTCCTCCTCACTTACTTTGTTAAATTTCTCACATATGTGCCACACTGTTTAAGCTTTGATTGAGTCCTGCAGCAAGGAAGGAAATGATTATGATTGGCATGGAGATCACATGCAGAACTCATGAAAAGGCAGTAAACTTCAGACTGATTTTTTTAATATATACTGGATAATTTTGAATAGGGACAATCATTAAATTTATAATTATTGCTAAGTTGTGTTTCCTATGACAGATGAAAAATGTTTTAGCGCAATTTACTGATGATTTCTACTAGGCTTGGGTGGTATTACGGTAATACAGAATACCAGGGTGGAAGATTTATTGCTGTGATTTCAGAATACTGGAATAGGAATGCTTTTGAAAATACCATCACATTATCATAGACTGTCGTATAATGCCTGGACAGTATGAAAAATTAGTTGCCTAATCGCAACTCAACTGACTATCGTGGTCCTAGTGATGTGACAGCTGCATGTGTCGATATTAACATCACACATCGTGCTGGTCTACTATAACCAATAACCAAGGCAACAGAATTTGTCAGATGAAACTGCAAAATATATTAATATTTAAAAATCTAAATGAGGTGGAAACTTCTAGAAATTAGTAAAATTCAGAAAAGAGTAAATTATACTAGAGATCATTCAGATACATTAAGAATTAAGAGTCCTTCAGCGCAGTTACTGACGTTAGTTGGTTCAAACAGCTACTCATTGCACACATAAGCTTTGTGCATTTTTTTGCATATGGCTTGAGGATTATCATTTGGTACATTATAGACTGAAACTTGTTTTTCTGTAACTTTCAACTTTATTCTCCTCTGTCTGATCTTCCTTTAACTTTAACTCCGCTTTCCACTCCATCCTCAGGGAATCGTCCACAAAACATTCCTGATATGCGAATGTTGTGCTGATATCCTCTGATCTGCGCAAAACGTAAGTCCTACGAAAACAAATAAGCCAACTTTACTTTGGGATTTCTTGGGAGTTTGTAGAAGGTGATATTTATATGATTTTCTAACAAGCTACGTCTGTTCACCGATATACATTTTTGTTCACCAAAGCGACTTAACTCTCCAAGTCTTTCAATGCTTCCCATTGCCTCAAAATAGCATTTTCCGTTGCCCCAACTTCACAGTTCTATTTGCTACAATGCACTGTGATAAACTGGATATTTAAAGACATCAATACTACTTCCTGTATTCTTCTGCTATGAAGTGGCCCACATGATTGAACGTGAGATTAACTAATAACATTTAACAACTGAAAGACAAACTAACTGTGCTTCTAAAAATCATTTCTCACATTGCAGGGATGAGTAACACACTTGTTCTTCCATGAAATCTGTTTAATGTCTTAGTTTTTTATGTTTCATAATGGCAAGAATGGATAACTCCACCAGGGACTCAATATTTTTGTAGCTAAATTAATAAAAATTAATGATTAACAAGCTGGTGGAGTTGAAAGACAGTCTAAAAAGTGGCCCCGGGATGAGTGAGGGTCAATACCCCACAGGAGATGGGGGTCAGTTCTTATGATCTTCTTTCATGCTGCAGACGGGTAAATTACCACATTCGTCACCAGCACTGGCTGGTGGCTAAAAAAACACCGAGGAGGTAGGGAGGTGATGCATTTTATATCTTCTTTTTTTTCCAAAGAAGAGAAAAATGTGCTTTAAAATAATAATAATAATAATAATAATAATAATAATAAAATTTACCAATGAGTTTTTTCAAAGTTACTCAAAAATAGGGGAGGTTCTACCTTTAAGTATGGAACCTTGGTTCTTCACAGATGTTTAGAAGGTAACTGAGGTCTTGTCCCCAGATTTTGTTTATTACGACTCTGCAGGGTTATTATTACTATTCTTTATTATTGCTATTATTATTATTAATTATTATTATTATTATTATTATTATTATTATTATTATTTCCATGAAAGCATGCTTTTGACATGGCAAACTGGGTGAAAATCGACACCAGCCAGGTGGTATCACATAACACACTGTGCATTACTCAAAGTATCATAATAAATTCAGAATGGCAAGTAATGAGAAATACTACGGCTTTATTTTGCTACGGCTTTTTACTGTAGCTGACGTATACTGTATGACGAATAAATAGGTGACAGAAACATTTTCATTCATAGTTCTGCAGATAACCAGCAATTAATCCTAGTGATGTATTACTGAGGAAAATATCTGAATTATCTGAACTGGAGTAAAAAAAAAAAAAGGTTTAAACCAATGTGTGTAAGAGCCAGTTAAGTACGCCTTTAAATGTTTATATATATTCCAAAAACATTCTGCAGATACAATAAAGGACACTTCTACAGTAAGAAAGCAAAGATACAACACTGACGAACTATTTAAATTATTCAACATCCCCTATGGACTATCTACGTTGGATTTTTTCCCCCAAGAAAGGTAGCTAAATGTCCACAAAGGATTCACGAAGAGAGCCAAATTAGCACTAAACGCCATACTTACAGTGCTATTAAAGTTAAATCAAACGGAAGTAAATGAAACACTTAGTTGACACCTTTTACCCGACAGATGATATTATTCAGATTTATTAGGTTATTTAGAACAGGCATCAAATACATCGATGCAAACATGACAGAAGTTGTACGATTCACTTAAAATATTAAGACCTGTTCTAAATTTGTAGTCTAGACTATATAAAGTAGAATAAAAGAACAAGAGACTTTACCCACAGTGACGAGCCGAGGAGACGCAGCTGGGGCTCATGGGGTGGAAGTGGGCAGTTTAATCTTCCTCCTAAGAAAAAATAACATGAAAATAATAATAATAAAGTTTACATCAAGTGCGCCGGAGGCGCATATTTACTGCATCGGAATTGCCAACTCTCACGCTTTCAGACTCTCGCGGAGGAAATCTTACGGAAAATCTATATTATTATAAACCTAAAATTAGCTCCACCAAAAGCGTCGGGCAGTTTGCAAACCCTACAGACTATTTACAAGGCAGTAAAACTCTTACAAACATATAAATGTGAGTGCAGACTTGCCTGGAAACGAAAACGTCACGCCAGCCTGCTGACCGACGCTGGCAGCCCTGCCGTATCTTTTACGATTCAAGCAGAACTACATGACAATGAATGAAACTGCCGCATTTTTCCACGAAACGCACATCTTTTAACCTGTAATGCAAACTGTACGTTTTAACAAAACGTGTTAAAAAGTAGTTCATGTGCATTTTCTCTTACAGACACCTGCAGCACTGGAAATAAATCTTGATTTATTATTCTAATCAAAATGCTCGCTTCTGAAATAATCTAGGGCGCGGTTAAGTCTTAGACGTACCATCTGCGTAAATTAAGAAAAAGAATTCGCACCTTCCCGTCTCGCACTTCCTACACGAATCGGCAGTGGGGAAGCGGCTCCTCCGCGGCCGTCCGTGTCCGCGATAGCCGGCGCTGGATGAGCGACACGCAGCCGCTTCGCAACTCGCAGGAAATTCTTTTGTGTTTTGGCGAGTCGCCAAAAACGTTTTAGAGCATTTCCTGGAATAAAGTGATACGGTCAAACTTTCATCACAGGTCTTGAACTCGATTGCCTAAATCCGCCCATTCATGACTATAGTCTTAGTCACACCCCGGGGTTTTATCTTCAAAATTAACATTGCTCAGTTAAGTATTGTGGTATATTACATTTTCATTTTCCATAATATTGTTAATATAACAGCCCTCATGGAATTTGTGAAGATATGACGTCTTAAGTTACAATGCATATGATGCAATGGGTCCTTATCTATCACTAAAGAAAAAAAGGAACGACAAAAGCTAATATCATAACTAACATACTACTTTTATTTTACACACCAATATCTAAGTTATATTCGTGTGCAGTTTTAAAATTTGCTTTACATGCAGTGCAACAACACACAAGATGCAAACAAATCTTTATTACAAATCTTGCTGGAGTTTAACAAAAAAATATTCTTGCTGGGATCATTCACAGATGCAGCAGGTGCTGAGAAACAACGACAAGTGAGATCTGACATTTGATGTGTTAGACGTTAAGTGTCAGAAAAACATTTCAATTTTCTCACCGCTTTTATACAGTTCTTACAGCAGATCTGCACAGACAAGACCACTGAAAATCCTGCACCATTTGTAATACATATATAACATAATTAGTATTAAAAGTACACATTTTCTAAAATTGGGAAAATTTACAGCATCTATATACTACACTTTTGGTATAACAAGTGCAACGGATCCATCATTCATAGCTTTCTTCTGAAGGTAAGTTCTGACAGTGACATCAGCAGGATTAAAAATTCTCAGTGACATGTAAGTCTGTCACATGGACAGCTGTAAAACCATCACACATTTGAATGATATTGAAATATATGCAGTGCATTTTACTCAAGATAAAGAAAATGATACTGTATTTTTTAATAACAGTAACCATCTGAAAAGTATTTAGTTGTATGCACAATAACCAATAAACACTGCAATATTGTATTGAATCAACAAGAACAAAAAGAAAAAACACACACACACACACACACACACACACACACAGCTTTAAAAAACACCTTGTTGCCACATTAATTCCTAAATTCAGCCAATCAGCTAATAATACTGGATGCCCAGGACTGGAGTGGAGAAGCACTGCTTTATTATTGGCTGATTGAGAGGTCATTCTAAAAACCCCGCCCTCGATAGAACAGGTTCCCCACCCCTGCTTTATTATTGGCTGATTGAGAGGTCACTCTAAAAACCCCGCCCTCGATAGAACAGGTTCCCCACCCTTGCTTTAGCGCTTTAAATATATTTAAATCACTGCATAGTATTTACAAAAAAATATATTGCTGTGCACAATTTCAGCTCTGGACAAGACGCACATCCGAACACACGCAGAGCAATCATTGGCCTGAACGCAGGGAATATGCTGCGAAGACGTGGGCTGTGGAGATTTAAAAGGCACAGTGTGAGTGTCTCTGTCAGTTACACACGCGCCCCCTAAAAGCAGCTTTGAAATCTGAGCAGAGTTCATCGGTCGGGGAACGGAAAAAACCCACAGCAAACAGGAAAAGAACATTTCAGAGCGCGGAGACATTTCCAGTAATCAGGTCCCGAGGTCGTCAATAAGATGGACAAACACTGTCCTCTGCTACACCAGCTCGAGGTTGTAATTACGCTGCAATTATGCTGGGTGTGGGTATTTTCTCATTTCCAAACTTTGGTTTTTCTGAATCAGAATAGAACATGAATAGCAGTGTTGTGCACAAAAAGCTGAAACTACAAACCAGGGGTGTCTCACATAACACACATATATTCTGAGAACCTTCCTCTCATCTTACACTTCAATAACTGATATTACTACACACCAACATTTCACATAAACTATCATTTTGCCTGATCCAGCTACAGTGTCACTTACTACTAAATTTGAGGTTTGCACGGCATAAGCAGTAGGAAGGTGGATGGATAGAAAGGAAATTATCAGCTGATCCACAGATAAGGTTCACTTGATCAAGTGTCATCCATAATCTGTTGAACAGAGAGGTTTTCATACCGTGAGATCATTTGAGTATATAACAGCTGCGTGGGTGTGGTAATGATGGAAAAACCAGTAACTTCTTTGTCACCCGTGGAAGCTGTAGTTCTGTAAAAGGTTAATAAAATCCAGGTTCTTAACACTTCAGAACCAGAGTCTAATGAAAATCTGGATGCTTGGTACAATGTGTAACGCTCGTTTATATAATTTGATATTTAGTGGTCTGAACTGGCTCAGAAATTTCCACCAATGTTTTCGTAAACCAAAAGTCACTTCTTGTAGGATTGATATAAGTCGCAGATGAAGAGCCAATAACGTCCATGATAGACTAGAGCCAAAACAACAGCATCACATCGCAAAAACCAATATGCAAACCAGACTTATGTGCTGTAGTGCCTGCTGTAGCTTACATGCTCCTTTTAAATGAAAATAAATACTGTTTTACAAGATCAATTTCCCACTGACTTATCTCATTCAATTATTTACAGTAGATGATATCACTTTTTTACATGCTTTATAAATAATGGAGACAAAAATGATTGTTCACGTGGGTGTTGGACACAGATAAACACACACAGGTTTTGACCAGAGGTCTCTCCTGCAAATGCGCATGAGGTGTTCTTCTCAACAGCTCATACGCAGCCGTATTCATACCACACGGTCTGTGCATCACTGCTGGGATCAGGAGAGCCGGGGGTGTTCTTGGGGGGGGTGTTCTTGGGGGGTCCCTCCGTGCTGGAGATGCCTCCAGCTCCCTCCTGTTTCTTCGCAAGAGGAGATTCTGTCCGACGGATCTCTCGGGGTTCGTCCCTCTCCTCCTGCTGCACGGCCATCACGGCCCGCACCGGCGTCACCATGGCGACCTCCCCACGGTGATGTGATGTGGTCTGGCGTGAGGGCGCCCTGGCTGCTCCGCGGCCGTGCCGCTCCGACAGGGCTGGGCCGGCAGACAATGAGGCGGAAGAGGAATGGTGCCGGGGGCTAAGGGAACGCTCCTCTTTGGGAGGGGCGTAGGACAGCCGACGGGCATCCAGAGAGTGATGGTCCACCTCACTAGAGTCACCGAAGGGGCCAGCCAGCCGGGCGGACAGAGGCCTCTCTCGCGAGACGATCCCAGCCCTCCTCACCACATCTGCCTGGGCTGGGTCACCCCCCGACTGGGGGTCGTTCTCCTGCTGGTAACTGTCAGGTCCACTGGCGTGCAGGAGGTCGGCTGATGCTAGACTGAAGGCCCGGTGCAGACTGCCACTGGAAGCTCGGGTGCTAGAAGACCGCTGGGGTCCACCACCTGCCCGGAAGTTGGGTGGGATGTGGTTGTCTGGCTGACGGATGCTGGGCTTGACACTCTGTCCAGGCTTGGGAGCTCTACCCTCGCCGGAGACTGAAGCTTTCACAGTGGGACTGACGTAACTGGTGGGGGCCTTTGCTCCGTCTTTCAGGGGCGCCGCTTGGCCGGTTCCAGACCTCTCTCCGGCTTTGATAAAGTACTCGGTCACCAGGTCCTCGTGGCTGCAGCCCTGCACCTGGAACACAACAACACAGCAACTCAGCAGCTGTTTCCCAAAAAGTGTCTGTCCACGGTCATAATGCATAAAGTCAACATACAGGGTTATAACAAACGCAACAAAGAGCATTATCTCTGATGTGTTTGCTTTGATTGAGAAGGACATTCTCCTTGATTTTGTGTTTAAAATGCTGAAAGCTGTCACTCAGAAAGGAAGAGAAAGGTGAAAAAGTGCCTCAGACCCGTGTGGCATCTCGCACACGCAGCTCTCAGGGTCACTAATGAGATTCATGCTCAAGAAAATCAGTTTACAGCACCAGCGGTCCCAACAAATATCAGAACAATCTAATTAACTAAATGGCCTTTAAATAAACACTCCAGCCCGCTTTGGGGAGGAATAAACAAGGCAATTAAACACCGCCACCCCCTATTTCGACTATGCACTTCTGCTGCAAAATAACCATGGATTTTTTAAAATACAAGCAAATGTTTAAATAATTGACAATAGCCTTTTCAATCAGCCGATCTGGCCAAACTGCAGACCTCATGCCTGTCACTGAATTCTCACAGATCACGATGGTAAAAATACTTCAGCGATGTAATGACCGTCATGATTGAATTATTCCATGGTTGCACATACTTTCTCAAAGGGATCGGGTAACACTAAGGAGCTTTCCATTGCAGGCACTGTTACATCATTTCAAAAGATGATCGTGTACATTTTCAGCCTTCCTGGCCTATGCCAAAATAAAAGGACACGAAATACAATTACAGCAATGGTGTGTTGGCCTGGCATCTCTGTACCACAAATATTGCAGCATACTGCCCACAGCGAGAGCTTCTAAGTTACATGCTATCAGCAGTGATATGCTTCCTAATTTGGGTCGCAACCCATGGGTTGAGAATCACTGATCTACAGGACCTTATTACTGTAAAGTATCAATCAGAAGAGGAGTTTAAAAGAATATCATAGGCCCTGGATGCACCATGGAGCACTCTGAAGATGATCAGCATTAAGCTGAGAAAATGTGACACCTTAGATATGTTGACAAGATCAATACCCCCTTCCCCTCCCATCTAAGCTCATCTTAGTATAAAAAATATACCATGTGAACTACAAGTCTTCAATGACATAAAGGAAGCACTTTTTGCCCTTAACTTCTAGGAGATAAGTTTGGTGCAGAATGGACACTGCTCCTGACCCAAAGGGCACCTTACCGACTGTGAAACGTGGTGGAGGCTTGCACTGGAGTCGTTTTTCTTCAGCTGGGGCAGGGACCGTAATCATGACAGACGGGATAATGGCTAGCTTCAAATGTCAAGATATTTCGGCCTTTGTCAGAAATGTGAAGATGAAGTGGAGTTGTATGTTCCAGCTTAGTAACCACCAGAAGCACACATGCAGGTCAAGCAAGGGAGGACTCCCAAAAAGGAAGATCAAAGTCTTGGAACGGCCCAATCAGAGCCCAGACTTCAACCCCATAGAAAACCAATGGAATGGCAATTTGAAGGAGCCTGAACACTTTTAAAGGAAAGACTGTAATTAAATTCCACGTCCAGATGTGCAAAGTTGATAAATCTCCGAATAAGTCTACTACTGTATCAATGCGAAAGGTGCTTCCACAAATGACATGTTGCACACTTATGCAAGCAGGCCGTTGTAGGTTTTTAAATTTCAATTATTTCTCCTACTAATTGTTTCTTTTTGTCGATCTTTGTTGTTTGCATGGTCACATTAAAGACTGAAACATGTCCGACGTGACATTTCTCTTCACGTCTAGCAGCACATCAATCTGCAGTAATTCTGCTGGCTCATTAACATGCTGCATTCACCACACAAACCACAGTTTCGTGTTATTTACTCGCTGAATCTTTGTCGCCATTGTGATCAGCACGTTGGGTTTTACTGTATCAAGGCAGAAACAGAAGTATGATCCGCTGAGAAAGTGACGGAACTGTGAGGCTGTGTCCCTCCCCCCCCTGCAACGCAAAGCTAGTGGGCCGTGCTAGAGTCACACATTCAGTGCCGAAAAAATGCCCACGTTTGCTCCCCCTAAGGGTTCATTCATACATAAGATCTGGAATATTAGCTAAATAAAATGCTCAATACGGACACAAATTACAGAGACCCCCACGCACATCTGACCCTTACTTGGTAAACTGTAGCATAGGTGGTTGGCAAACTTTATCATGGGAGATTCCCCCCCCCCCCGGTATTGGGCAAACTTTATCATGGGAGACCTGGGGGAGGGGGGTGTCCTGAATTTATTCAGATTGAAAGTGGCAACCCAAGCAGGGGGAGGGGAGTTAGTTGTTTGTTGGGGCTGGGCCCCAAGGTGACATTTTGTCAGGGGACCCAGAACTCTTAGTTAGGCCCCTGACTGCACACATTCAGAAAACTGTAACTATAAATTGTACGTTTTATGTAATGTGACTGTCATTACACAGAGTCTTGACTCAACACTACAAACTCGTGCTATTTCATTTATAATGACAGTTGACAGTGACTGAGCACAACAAGAGCAGTCTGTCACAACCTTAATACTATTGTTTTATTATTAATGAATGCAAGCTGTTACCTGTAATTATTAAGACTAGCTTCAGTGTTTTACAGAGTTTGCCCCTGAGACCCACCTCCCCAGAATTAAGCAGAGATGCTCCAGGCCACAAAGAGAGGCACTCTCTGAGCCCACTGGGGGGGGGGTGCCCCCCACATGCATACCTAGCAGGAGTGTCCGTGGCATTTAGGAGGTCCTACATTACTCCTGACATCTTCAAGATTCAAGATAATTTATTTGTCACATAGATGTTAAGCAGTCAGATGTATCAAGTTGCCGCTGGACTGTGCAGTAAGAAGAAGTAGAGAGAGAGCAGCCAGCAATATGATTTTAAAATTTAAAAATAACCTCCGGTAAAATCTTCAAATGTTAGTATAAAGAGTCGCCCATATTTATTGACAATAAACACAGGCTGTAATTTAGCTCATGTTGTTCTGGTGTTCCAGTGGTTCTCAGTCCTGATCCTGGTGCCAGAATGTTTTCATTCCAGTCCTACTGCTCTAATCAGGCTTATATGGCCCTTAATAGGCCAATAATGAATGTGGCAGATTGAAAGCAGCGTGGGCTGGAACGAAAACATTCTGGCAGCGGGGGGCTGTAGGAACTGGATTGAGAACCACTGTACTAGGTGAAGATGGACAAAAAAAAATGACAAAATGGTTTGGTAGACCTGCAAGTTCCCAGTTTAATAACCATGCCCATTTCTGAGCCCCACAGAGTGCAGTGACTTAGCGGGTAGCAGAGTCTCCCAGCCCCAGGCTGCCAGGTTCCAGTGTGCTGTTCAGCAGAGGTTCCAGTGTGCTGTTCAGCAGTGTGCTGTTCAGCAGAGGTTCCAGTGTGCTGTTCAGCAGAGGTTCCAGTGTGCTGTTCAGCAGTGTGCTGTTCAGCAGAGGTTCCAGTGTGCTGTTCAGCAGAGGTTCCAGTGTGCTGTTCAGCAGTGTGCTGTTCAGCAGAGGTTCCAGTGTGCTGTTCAGCAGTGTGCTGTTCAGCAGAGTATTAAACACGATCAACAGGAAAATATCGTCATATGACCAGCACGGACTGTTGGATTTCTGACTTTTTCTAATCTGGGCCAGGTTCTGGAGGGCTGGGGTCTCTGTTCGCTCACCACAGGGGCAGGGGGAGTGTTGGTCTCCTGCAGAAACTCCTCCAGAGTGACCATCTCGCTGCCAGGGGACGAGGGGCGACGTCGGGGGGGGCGTGAGCTGCTCCTCTGGGGCGAGGAGTCATAGGGCAGCGTGGAGGACTGAGACAGCGATGAGAGCGGGCTGCTGCGGCCCAGAGAGGCGTCCCCAGGGACACCCGGCACTTTGGGGCCCAGGCCTGTGACGTCATCGCTGGACAGGCTGCCGCCTTGGCTGTGGAGTCGCTCCGCAGAGCCTGGCAGGGTGTGGAAGAGGAGCATCAGGCAGAAATAAAACAACAGGGGAATAAAACCATGGATGCTTCTCACTTTACAATGTTTGACTTATGATATTATGGACGTTACCGTGTTGTGATAGCGATGCACATTCAGTAGTCAAACTTTGAATTTTGATCTGTTCCCTGGCTAGTGATACACTCCACTGATGCTTGGTGATGGACGGATCCACCAACCCAGCCACACTTACACGCTTAAAGTCTCTAGCAATTGCGGATGGAAACATCCCACAGTGTTTAATAACATAACGAACTGTGTGTTTTTCTGTATTTCATCCAATTTTTCCAAGTCCAATATACATGCTAAATACTCAAATGTGTCATATCCCATCATATTCATATTCAACTCTATTTTTTATTTTTAAAAATTTATAGTCGTTTTTTAACCATTAATTTGATGGCGAATGTGGACAGTACCTCTAGCGTTGATGGGTGAGTTGGTACTGGATGTGTTTCGGCTGATTTCCGTAGCGTTGGGCCAGTAATCTAGGGTGTTAGGTAATTAATCAGGATTAACTAAATTAATCAGGATTAACTAAACACAACTTTCCGAGGAGCCACCATTCTGAAGTGCTACCATCTAGGTCAAATACATACCTGTGTTGCCTTGGACACCAGTCACGAAAACCGCATCAAAGGACTGCGGACGCACATCCTCATCTGCAGACGCACAGAAGGAACAGCGACTTCGCTACTACAGCTCATACAGAGAAACATCTATTATTCCAGAATAGTCTATTTATCGTTAAGGACTTTTACATAGTTTGCTTTGGGGTGTCGTGCAAAACAATCAAGAACAATCAAGACAATAAAATAAAAATAAAGTAATGTGCCTAGTAAGTATTGTGCCTAGTAAGTAATGTGCCTAGTATAAGATCAGTCACTATGCATGAACATTTACATCTCTGCTTTACGAAATCACTAACAGCCTTTATGTATAGCACCAATAAATCACCACTAATGCAAAAATACGAGAATTAAGTCATGTCATTAAGTTGCATTATTTACTACTAATTTTACTAGATGTGTACTTTGGATTATTAGTGAAAGAGGGGCTGTACCTCTGGGCCTGTGCGCCAGCCTGCTGCTGGAGCTGGAAGTGTGTCCCGGGGTGCTGTGCCGGGTGGGGGAGTATGTGCACCTCAAAAGCCGCTCCTCAGGGCCAGTCCCACCATCCCCACTGCCCCCCGCAGTTCGGTGCTGACCCCTCCCTTGGCCTGAAAGTAATGGTACGGTCCGCCAGTGACTCTCTCGCTGACACTGCAACCGAGAGGCACTGCAGGCAAGTGTTAATCTTATTGTCACGGACACCACACACATCACAAATATTAACTTCAGAAAGATTTCTGGGGGCCCTGCAGCCTCTGCGGAATGAGGGAAGCTATTGCGGGCCGGAGGAAGATGTGCATCAAAACCCCGGGCTGCCACAAGGGCGACTCAGAAGAACCACAAACACTGGAGCAGGCTGCCAGCTGCCTAAAGCTACTGCGTACTTTCAACAGGAAGAGTGTTTCCGGGGCCATTTTTAAACCAGGCAAGAAGGGGGGGGGGGGGGGAACTTGGTCTGCAGCATGCAGGCGTATTGCACAACTGACACACACTGATGTAGACATCCAGCCTGCTGCCAGACAGGGCTGCTTTGTTGTTTAGCATTCATTAGTGGCCTAGTAGTGAAATCAAAACACAGGCAGGATTTATGGTCAACAAAGCGGCATCACTCACTCACTGCAGTGACATTTCAATCTGCAAGCCGTTCATTGGCTGAATTATCATGGAGTGTGCGCACCCTGACATTCGTATCGATCCGGTACAGTGTCTGCACTACGCAATTCCAGTGTACAGTGTCTGCTCTACGCAATTCCAGTGTGGCTATGTGAGGTGCCACATGGGTGGCATCTGAAAATTGGGGATTTAAAAGCAGAACTACATACTGCAGACAGTACTGGGCTACTTTGATTTCTGAGTGAGTCACGATTAATAGCGCAGTGATATTGCTGGAATACTCCTCTGAGTCTGGTATCAGGGCCAGGGACTGGAGTGAGCTGTCACAAGTGTACGCACGACTGAGAAGCGATTGTTCACCTTTTTGGCTTTGTGTGTATTGCGGTGCACATATGTGGCAGATTGAAGAAGAAAATGCACAGTAACGTATTTGTGCATTTATGAGCGTTACTGAAAAACCACAGAGAAACGTATTGTGTGGTGTTGGGTGTCGTGTTTTTTTTCCGCGTATCTACGGAACAGCAAGGACTGCAGAGTGTGGCCATGTGTTTATGTTTGTGTCCATCTGTGTGTCACTGAGGAACCTGAGAGGAATTTATTTGGGGGGCAAAGAGGGAAGCTTTGTTCTAGGTGTGTCCAGCAGAGTGACCATGCACCATACTTTTGGAAATTTTCAAGTATTTATGGAACAGGAGCAGTAACAGCATAATACTGTGTTCCTGTATTTGAATGCAGGAATTTATGAGAGGAAGGAGAGCCAGATTGGTGGGGGTGGGTGTGTTCATCAGAGGGGGAGAGAGCGAGCTTGAAGATTGACGAGGTTGAAAGGCAAGGCCATGGAGATCAGGGAGCGTAAAGGCAGAATCAAACACGACTGAGCACCGAGGGAAGTGGGCCTGCGTGGGGAAGAGGAGGCCCAGAATGGCAGGAGCGCAGAGAGAAGGCTCCACGTTGGGCAGCCCCACGGCCGCTTCACCTTCTCCCGGACCTTAGTTCTCGGAAAGCATAACTGTACGGCTGCTAGGGGTGCTGAAGAGAAGGGGGGGGGGGGGGTGGGGGGGGTTATTACAGAAAAGGGGACAGGAGGCAGGATGAGCAGAGGAAGACAAGAAGCTACTGAAAGAACAGACATCAAAAAAGTAAGGTGACCTGTGACCTTTATGACGGAACAGTGAGAAGGTGGATGACAGTTTGAACATCCCACTGCTGATGATGGTCTTGGAAGGATTTAGCTGTTAAACATCACACTCTGGGTTATATCTAAGGAAACGAATATCGGAAATGAACCAAAGTAGTTACACGCATGGATCCAAACTTAGCGGTAGCTCAATGCATTACATAATTATGATCACATAATTACAGCGGCTGTTTACTCTGGTCACCGGCACCGTGTCAGGTCACTGTGTCAGGTCACTGTATCAGGTCACGGTGTCAGGTCACTGTATCAGGTCACCGTAGTACACATGATTAAATCTGCCTGTAAAAGCTTCCTCCACCCTTATACTGCTGGGACACATCATTAACATGGATATATATATACAAGTATTACCATTTCCCTCAAAACATCGGAGGGATCATACAATTTCTCTAGCTGCATCGCTAGAGTGGCGCAGTGGGTACCACTGTCACCTCACACCTCCAGGACTAGGGTTCGAGTCTCTGTCACGGCTTCCTGTGGGTGGATTGTGCATGTTCTCCCCATGTTGTCGTGGGGTTTCCTGCGAGTATTCCGGTTCCCCCCCCCCCCACGGTCCCAAAAACATGTTCAGTTTAACTGGAGTTACCAAACTGCACGTAGGTGTGCACGTGTGAGTTGATGGTGCGCGAGTGTGCCCTGCCCCACCCTGGGCTGCTGCTTACCTTGTGACCCTGAATACGATAAGAGGTCACAGAAAATGGACTGATGGTGTTACACTGCATTATACATCTGTTGGTTCATTCAGCACACATTCTATACTAGGTAACTCTGTACTTAACTTTACCCACTGCTGACTTGCTGAATGCTATATCAGGGCCTATCAGGGCCTATGGTGGAGCCACCTTGTGGTCATAACCAGGCTCTGCAAACAGTTTTTTCCCCCAGGCCATCAGATGTCTTAATTCATACCTACCTGCGTTTTCACACTATGTTGTTTTGCACTGTCTACCATCTATATCTAAATGCACAGTCTTGCACCTATTGTTTACTTGCACTGAGTCACTGTTGTGTAATTTTTAATCCAGAATTTACAGGTCAGTGTTTGCTGTGTGATGTAATTTTGTCTCTCGTATGCAAAATCACAATAAAGTGACTAGACTGACTGTGACTAGACATTCAACCACTTTCTTGACTGGGTTTCACACCCAGTAGGTCTTTTATTAAATATTAAGGAGGGCAACCTGAAGGGGGCAGTATTTAACAGGGGCATGGTGTCCCCATACCTCTGTTATTGTGTGTAGGCGTCAGGCTGGGTGAGCGGCTGCTCTTGTCTCCGCTCGGGTGGGGTGCCGTGCCATCCAGACTACGGCGAGACTGCCGCGGGGGCAGGGGGGGTGGTGGCAGAGGGGGCAGCCCGTCAGAGTGGTCGTGGGGAGGGGGAGCGGGGAGCGGCAGGTCGGGGGCACTGCGGAGCCGCTCCCTCCCATTCTCCTTCTTCGGCTTGATCAGTTTTGCCAGAGCTTTAGCGCCGACCCACTGGTTCCTCCTGGAATTGCGACAGAGATCCGGGTAAATGCTGTCCAGACACAAAACACGGTGGCAAATACAGGTGAACAGAAGCCCTCATACTTCTTCGGCGTGGGGTCGTAAAATTTGTACTGATCCATAATCTTCTCTTCCAGTTTCTCCTTCTGGCGCCTGAGTGAATTTAACTTGTCACTGAAAGACAATAAGAATATATTACAAACCAAACATGGAACTGCAGGTTGGATCTGTGGGTTAAGCCTTTGTGCCTCTGATCGGAAGGTCACCAGCACTGATGGGGCAGTTACTCACTAAAGGAATCCATTACAGGTCCCGAAAGTTCAGATCCAGACCAAGGTTTTGTTTCAACCAACCAGTTGAGTACTCTGTGACTTTAACTCTTTATGCTCAACTGGTCGGTTGAAACAAAACCTTGGTCTGGTTCTGTACTTTCGGGACCTGAAATTGTCTGTAATGGATTACTTTTGTAAGTAACTACCCCAACACTGGTCACCAGTTCGAATTCCGTCCCTGGCAGAATTGTCACATGCCCACGATCGAGACCCTTAACCCCCCAAAAAGCTCCAAGGGTACCAGATAAATGCCAGATCCTGCGCTTAGAACCCAAGCTTTGCTTTAAACTGTGTATATATGAATGCATATGTCTCAAAGGACGGCAAGACGGGAGATGCGAAAAGAAGCATTTCAATGTATCATTTCAGATATCAAGTTGTATCCACTACGTGACCGAGCACCCGTATGCACACTCACATATACTGCTTCTGCTCCTCGTGGTACATCTCCTTGCTCTCCATGGTCCGCTCCAACAAAGTCTGGTTCTGCTGACTCAGCATCTGGATCTGACTCAGCAGGTAGTGGTTCTCCTCCTCGAGGTTGCCCTTCAGACGAGTCAGCAACTGGAGGCCAAGATTAAAGCAGAGGGCTATCAATTTAAGTGCCACTTCTTCCTTAAACTGCAGTGTAATTGATATCAATGACAACCACAAGGGGATGTTTAAGCGATGTGACCAGCAGATGGAGACAAAACCAATATGACATCAGTGACAACAGGCCCTTTTTCCACCACAGGAACTTTTTTTCAAGAACCAAGAACTTCTGTCACATTCCTGCCACAGGAACTTGGCCCGATTTTACTTCCTGGGAGGTAAGTCCAAGCAGGTAGAATCCGTAATGAACACTCAGGCTCACACCTCACAGTGGTTGCCCAGCTTGGTGTGGGAGATATCCAGGTGCTGGTGTTTCTCTTTGAGCTGGTCATATCTGGCCTGCCACCGGTTCAGCTCCAGCTGTGCATTGTTCAGTGACGTTTTCAGATCCTTGGACTGCAGCTGAAGCCCATCATATTCCTTTCCCAGCTGCTCGTGCGCCTGCAGCAGCCTGATAAATAACAGACAGATAAATAATAAGCACAGAGGTGGACAGTTCAGGTCCAGAAAATAAAAATCCAGACCAAGATTTTGTTTCAACCAACCAGTTGAGTACTCTGTGACCGTGACTCCCTATACTTAACTGGTTGATCTGGATTTTTACTTTTTCGACCTGAAATTTCCATCTCTGTATAAGTATCCATCACTCCATCCATACAGCATCATAGAAACATGTAACCAGCAGAGGGAGACAAAACCGATATGATATCAGTGACAACAGGCCCTTTTTCCACCACAGGAACTTCTGTCACATTCTGTCCAAAGTCCTGAACTTTTTTTAGTCCCTACTCTACAGTAAGTACAATTCATTTGACCACAGACTACTGGGCTGTATTACAGCAGTAAGCTTGCTGATTGGCAGACCACCAGCTCCAGCCTAGAAGTTATGTAAAAGTGCGGGGAAAAGAGACGGAGCGGAAACAGAGCAGATGGAAACATTAAATGCATTAATGGATACCTTTTTTTCTCGCTTGGAAAATTCAATCTGTGCAATTCAACGTAAAAGCACTGTGTCGTTTCTATAGCGGTATACTGACATGGAAATTTTGACAGATACGGAGTCCGCGAGAACTTCAGTTAGAAAGCGTTTAACATAACAATCCTCGTTCCGACACGGGGATCTATTACAAAAAAAAACCTCACTGGTAGATGAATGATCAGTTTTAAATAGTTATGCATGTTTACAATACATCTCCACAAATCAGACGTCCTCTGCGCTTCCTGAGGTCAGTGTCTTGGCCATGAAAATGCACTTTTGCCTCCCCTGCATCTGTTTGGCCCCGACGCACGTTACACTCGTCTATCCAGATGTGCTCACCTGTCTATTTCCCCCCGCAGACCCTGGTTCTCCGCCAGGATGAGGGAGTTCGTCTTCATCTCCCCCTCAAGCTTGTCCCTCTCTTTCTGCACTGTGCTCTCCAGCTCCGCCACGGCTGACTTCTGAGACATCAGCATGGCGTACCTGCCAGCATGGTAGGTGGTGGGGGGGTAAATAACCCATATAAACCACACTTAAACAAAAGCTCAGTAGGAAACTGCATGGCTCCGTTTCTCAACTGACCAATTGGTCATTCGGAGGCGGAGAGAGTGGTTAAAAAATATTTTTGATTTTTTTTTTTATAATGTTGGATTTTTTGCTTTTTGTTTTTAACTGTGCATGAAGGCATTTTCTATTTACTATTACAGCGCTACTTTTGTGAAATAAATTTGGTTTAAATTTGAAAAATTTAGGCTGTGACTTAACGGACAAGGAAAAATGTGGGTTCTGCGGCTACAAGCGGTTTAGAACCCCTGCTGTACCCGATGCTCCCCTCTCTAAAAACTGCCTTGTTCTGCTGATGTCACACTCTGCCTCCCCAGTCACGGCAGCCCCATAATGCCCCAGGATGCCGCGTGCAATGTGGGATTTCACCCAATCCGGGGGTGGGAGGCTCCCGGTAGGTCTGGCAGAAGCCGGCAGGAAAGACCGCCCTGCTTTCTCCCCACGTCCAGGGTCACCGAGCCGCATGGCGGTGGCCTGTCACACCCCGATCCCTAGCAGCATCCTGACTCCGCGGGGGGGGGCAGCCGCATGCCTGCGGGGGGCTGCGGTCACACAATGCCCATGAGTAAGCGGAGCAGCATGCTCTGCACGTTTCCAAGCACACGCCTTAGCCACCCGACAACCACAGGAAGCTGATATTACTCTCAGTAAGCCAACTGCTTATCACTTAATTGCTTTCATCATTTATCTAGGGCTCATTATATGCAGGGCAGGAAGCCAGCTTTCCGTGACAGTGCAGAAAAACAAGGGTGTGGACTGTATGTTTGACAACAAAAGCCACAAAAGCAAACCTTATGAGAGAGCGGTTAGGTTACGCTGTACGGTAATCATGGGATCACTCTTCTTCCCATGCTTTGATACTCTGCCCTCTAGCTATCGTCCTGCTTTAGATTCTCCTTCAATGCAGCTGCAAGCCTCTGGACACTATTTACTGCACTGACTGTGTAACCCTGCTGCTCTGCTGCCCCCGTGTGGCCGCCAGCTGTACAGCCGCACATACACAATCTGCTGTTTAGTGGGCTGACTGCTCAATTCCTAACTAATTAAACATTTTCTTAGTAAAAACAAAAGGCAAGAAACTGCCTAAATAAAATAACCATACTGCGCACCATTCTCCGCTTTCCATGCACTTGCAGGAAGCCTGGCCGGTATCTAATTTTTCACCTCATTCCGTCCAGCTAGTACACCACTACATATGGGATTTTGACAGTATTTTCGAAAGTAGCGCTATATCGGAATTTTGAAATCTTGGTGAGAAAATTCGCTGAACCGCAAATTTTATCGCGGGGACCGTCCCCCCACGACCGCTGGGCAAGACTGCAGTGTACCCGACACTGCAGTATACCCGACACTGCAGTATACCCGACACTGCAGTATATACCCAAAAACCTAACGTGCTACACCATGCTACAGTAATACTGTCCTACTGTGAAGGTGTAACTCCAAGGTGTAAAATTTACAGCGTAAAACCAGCCCTCATGCACTCTAGGGGACATCCCGCTGCCGTCTTCGGAGCTGGAGCCCAGTCTCTTGTAGTGTGACTTTCACTTTTCTTCCCTAAAGATAATGTATCCATGTGCCCGTGTTGAGATGCGACGTGAATATGGCAGATGCCCACTTGCTCTCCAGCCCGCGGTGCTCCTGCTCCAGACCGCGCTGGGCGCTCTTCAGCGCTGTGTGCTGGCCAATGAGCTGCTCGTACTCGGCGGCCTGATGCTCGTGGACGGTCAGCAGGCGCTCGTGGTCCAGCAGGATGCCCTCATGGGCCGTCCTCATCTCCTCCCTCTGCCGCTGCAGGGCCTCCAGCTCGCCCTCTAGTGTGCGCACCTGGCCCTGCAGCGCCGTGTTCTGGGCCAGCAGAGAGGCGCTCTGGGAGCTCAGGGTGGATTTCTCCACCTGGTGCAAAGAGCAGGAGAACCCAGTCAAAAGAGCACACTATGTATTTAATTTATGTTTGATAGGGAACTTGACAGGGCAGATTCTGTCTGGCTTCTAATCCTTGCAGAAGCAACTTTTTTCCACTCAGAACTAAGTGCTACAAGACAGATGAACTCGGCCCTTGAGGTGCAGGGTTGGAAACCCCTTGGGCTCAGTATCTTCAGGACTAACGAACCACAAGGTGCAGCTCGTTTCAGGTGTAAATCAGGTGCTAATTAAAAGTGTATTCTGAAAGGCAGGAGCTGATAAGGACTATATTTCCGCCCCCCAAGGATAAGCTGGTAAAATTAAAAATGAAGAATAGGTGCCGGTGGGGGAGGGGTGAGCGAGGTGAGCGAGGTGACCGACCTGCAGCTGAGCCATCTGCGTATGCAGAGCCGTGCTGTGCTCTTGCTGCGAGGCCGACTGCCTCTGCAGACCCAGGAGCTGCGCATTCAGCTGCGTGTTCTGCGAGTCCAGCTGCCGGAGCTGCTCCTTCAACAGCTGCTTCTCTGTCAGCAGTGTGGCATTCTGGGTAATGTGCAGACAGTAGGTGCACAGTGAAGCTGCGCATTTACATCGCAGTGCTCCACTACCATCACATAAACAAGGAAGAATACAGATTTTAAGTGAGACATGTGCTTCATTTGTACTCCATTCTACCTCATGCAGCATAAGATCTTACATTAATCTTTGACGTATGGGCCAGAGGAGGATCCAGAAAGTAAAAATCCAGACCGTTATTTTATATAATATAATATAACCAGCTGAGTCCTCTCTGACTCTGGAGCTCAGCTGGTTCGTTGAAACAAAATCATGGACTGGATTTTTATTTTCTGGACCTGAAATTTCCACCTCTGCATATGGCTTTGATTACTTACTACTATAACTAAATTAGATTTTTCTTTACTATAAAATTCACATCCATTTATTTTAGGAGTTGCTTTTATACATATATTTTTGTTTTGTTTTGTTTTGAGCAGGCGGGGGTCAGACAGTCCCTGAACCAGTTGGAGCTTAAGGGACCCAATGTTGGAATCACTCTACAGAACCAGCGGCTTTCCAGTCACAAGCACAGTGTCCTAACCCACTGGGCCGTACGTCGGCCCACAGATGACCTCCCCCACGTAAAGAGCTCTCTTATTATATAATATAGGTATGTGAAGTGCGCGACCAACATGGCCGCCTTTTTTGTTCCAGATTCCTGTTCCACCATCAGGTCATCTGAGCGCTGGATATACCCCGGAAAATACGCATTCTTATTGTATCGCATTGCGGAATTCCGCGGTATTCCCACTGATAACATAGATGGGGAACCCCTCTTCGTCCTCCGTTTTGAATTTTTAAATTCTGTGTACATTTAGACCTTTTCCGGAAACGTTGAAAAATGCACTCGATTTCAACATACAAAAACCACTTCAAAGGATTAAGTGACGCTTTTGAAAGCTAAATTGACATATTGTTTATCATTTCATCTTTCTAATCCTGCAGTTTCATAGCTTTCTATGGATCAGAAAAAAAGTTTACTGACCAGGACCGGCAGCATACAGGATCGTCAAGGGCTAAAAATCCTGAAATCTGCCGTATGTTCATCAGTGATTTGTTGCATCAATATGCCATGATATTAGGGAAATATCTTAAGATGTGAAAAAGATGATTATATCCACTGAGTCGCATTTAATTAAGCAGAAGATAAGAGATATTCACATGGTCACGTGACCTAAACCAACAGCAGCGCCTGTTGATACACCATTCCAGTCTTCACCTTCTATCAATTTTATTTCAGACTAAGGACATACTTGGAATATATATTATTCTTTCAGATTGAAGAATATAAAGAGATACACCTTCCCTGAAAGTTTCATTGAGATATCTTGATTATTAAGGAAACTACAAGCGTTTTTATATAAAAAGTTAGGTATTTGGTCACAGTTTTCTACACACATTCCATTTTAAAAAATAGGGCTAATTAGCGAACTTCTTTTGCCAATATTTTCCTTATTTGTTAAGATATCTGAGTGATTTTGGTGTCATTGTCTTTGTTTATTCAAGCTCTTTCCAATGGTACCATTTAATTTGGTTGAGTTTTAAATTTTTCTTCACATACCTATATAATAGGTCTTCAGTTTTTCTGAAGCTAGTGTCTGTAGGACATTAATGTTAGAAATGCCTACTAAAGGAGAAGACTATATATAAATATAGAACACTATAAATAAAATACCAGGCACCAGTCTATATAGGCTTCCAAAGGTATTCCTCACACAAATGTTCTAAACCTTTTTTTTGCCCTGTGACCCAATTTTCACCACGCCAGTCGCGACCCTATATAGTACAGGTTTAAATGAACACTATGATCAAGCACGCAGTGCACTCTGCAATTTAAGCCAGTCAATGCCTATCGCACAAATCTGATTGGGCCAGTGAATTTTAAATTAAGCATCTGTGGTTTGGCTTCTTGCATTGGTTGAGTGTTCGCTAGTTTTGCTAAGTTTTTGCAGATTCAAGACCTGTTTATATAGGTTAATTTTAAGTTTGGGGCTGGGAAATCTGATCGTGGATCAGAATAGGAACCCGCTTGTGTTAAAATGCTTACATTTCCAACTCTGCCTCGCGACCCTTTCAGAACTTGCCGCAACCCAAATTTGGGTCGTGACCCATGGATTGACAGTCGCTGTTCTAGCCTGTTAGGTTTTCGCTTTCATGCTGCACTCACGTTCTTCTCAATGTCGATGAGTCTGTCTTTGAGTCTGAGAAGCTGCGCTGTGGCCTCCCTCTGCTCTGTGCTCCATTTCTCCTGGCCGGGCACCTCCTCTGCAGCCTGGGAGTGGGCCTCTTCCTCCTCCTGCCTCTGCTTTAGGGCCTCCAGGTTCCTCTTCACCTGCCAGCCAGAACACAGAGCAGACACGTGAGAGAAGGAAATGCATGAAAAAACCCACATCGCGAAACACTGCCCCCTGGTGTGAGGAGAAGGGAAGTGAATGACAGAATGACAGAGCGCAGGGATCCGCCAAGCCCCAGGACCCCCAGTCAGGACCTGTGATATCCCCACGGAGGAACTGCCCGTGAGGCCTGCCACCAGCACGCCAGTCACTGCAGAGAGGAGGACAGAATGACCTCCTCTGCCACGGAGGAACTGCCCGTGAGGCCTGCCACCAGCACGCCAGTCACTGCAGAGAGGAGGACAGAATGACCTCCTCTGCCACGGAAGAACTGCCCGTGAGGCCTGCCACCAGCATGCCAGTCACTGCAGAGAGGAGGACAGAATGGCCTCCTCTGCCACAGTTCAAAACCCACGTCATGAGTAGGAAGAAGTAGAGGATGATTGACGAGTTACCTGCTTGTGCGTCTGTCTGACCATAGACAGTGCGGAGGATAACCTCGCAGAGATCACCGTCACCTGCTGCCTGAACCCCCAGCGAGCCGTGAGCCGCACGTGGCTCCAGACTAAAGCCAGCCTCCACCTGGCCTCCCCATTTCCTCCCCAGTGCTCCTAAAAAGACGCTGCTCTTCCAGGGAATTTCCCCCTCAACTCCTTCTCCCGTCCCTCCCTGCCGGCCGCAGCCTTACTTGTGACAAAACTCACAGACACTATACGTCTCAGACTCACAGACACTATACGAGAGTCTTTTCCTTCACACTCTTGGGAATTTTACTTACACGAAAATGTTCTGAGGGCTGAACCCAAAATGATTTCTGTTCTGTCCTCAGAACATTTTTGCGTAAGTAAAACTCTCACAAGTCACGTGTGTGTGTGTGTGTGTGTGGGGGGGGGTCTGGTTGGAGTTCAGGACCTTCTCACTCACAGTCATAAGCTCCATACGTAGCTGCTGATTCAAGTTTCCCGACTCCTCCAGACGCGACTCCAGAGCTTGGATCTTCTCCTCACGGATCTCCAAGGTCTTCTTCAGTGCTGACTCAATCTTCGTCTCAAGGATCTTGTATTTGCTGTGGGACAGAGGGAACCAAAGTCACAAGGAGCCTAAATGCACAAGATATAGTCTGCTTGAAGGAATGTAAAATGCCAGGCTGGTCACAACCATGCTGTGATCCACCATGAATGTGCACATATACCTCCACAGAGCATGTGTTTAATATACAACTACTGAGTATTTTATACTTGTATATAAGAGCTGAATCATTCACTAGCTGGGCTTGGTTGCCCCAAACTGACATGAGTGCTTCAGATATTATCTAGGCTGTTAGAAAGACAGCCTTGCCTCGTGTCGAGTTCTCACTAAAGTAAAGGGAACCTGTTAGTGGCAATAAAAGTAAACATCACAAAAAAATCAATACTTCCATTAAGAGTTGAGAGAGCGCCGAATTCAGCTGTTTTTTGAGTGCCACCTGGGGGACCATGCCAGCAAAATGTATGAGAAAACCAGTATAAAACAGGCCCTCCCTGTAACCATCCATTCCCAGACACGAGCAGCCGCTGCAATAAAAACGCTGACTCAGCTCGTAAGATTCCCGAATTACGCACAATATGCCTGCCCACTTTAATGATGCCATGATGCGGCGATAAAAACCTTGTGCTGAAGGTCTGAACACTCTTGCTCACCACATGGATGTTCTAAATCGGATCAGAGTCTGAATCCGTAGTCTAATTATACCCTACATCAGTAACTTATTATACCGAAACAACCGAAATACTTACAAAATGCTATTTTCTTCCATTTATTTTTAAATACATTCCTGTGAAGACTTGAATCTAATTTTTGACACAGTGATGTCAACAACTGAAATAAGTCTCTGAATATTTTATGGCCATGCTGTAATCCACAAAAAGCTGAATAGGGAACTTGCTTTATTTCTAACTCCAAACTCATTGGATTGTCTAGATAAACCTTTCTTCCATACTGCAGTGATATTGCCCTTGCTGGCAAAACAGACTGAACGTCCAAAGCGAGACAAACAGTCATACTATTTACTTAACAAATACTTTAGGCACAACATATTTCTTGGTAATTCACATTTATACAGGGAACAGATTCTTTTTTTTTTGTTTAGCTGCATCAGCTGCACAGAATATAACAGTGAAGTTAATCTGCCAGTGAAGTTAATCTGCCAGTGAAGTTAATCTGCCAGTGAAGTTAATCTGCCAGTCACGTCCAGTGGCTGACAATTACGGCAATTATGACAGGAACTGATTTTTCAAACACTGCGCGTACCTGAGGATGAGGCCGACAGAAACTGCAGCTATTTTCTCAGCTCATTCTCATCTACTGCTTTTACAGATGCTTCAGGATTCTAGAGAAATCCAAAAGCAAGCCTGACCTGCCGTTCGGTTTGAAGGCTCGCTCCCATTAAGTGCTGATGCTCTCAGCCATTTACCGCGTTTATATAGGTGTGCGGCATTCTCCGTAGCCATCAGTGAAAAGTAGCGCAATCATAATTAAATTCACAATTTAATGTTCTCTGAAATGAGCCAGAAAAGCCCCCCCCCCCCACACACACACACACACACACACACACACTCACACAAACATACACAGAAACTTCACAGCTTACGGTAAGCAACTCCTTTAAGTACATCAAACGGCATACGACTGGACAGGAACTTAGAATCAACTCACCCACAGCTGCCAGATAACCACCAGCGGGCAGCGTGCAGAAAGCGACCAGACAGATGTATAATGAAAACCCTCTTCAGCAAAAGGCAACACAAGTTTAACAATTAGTCTGAACACGCCAAAATATTCATGTGGTACTGGCTTAAGCGGCCCTCTCGCCATCTCTCAACTTGGCAGAGTATATCAGTCACAAAACCTTTTAGCAACCTTCTACAAAAAATAGTAATCACTGCCAGCATGACAAGAGCGAGGTTTTAAAAGACTGTTCATGTTTAGGCATCTCATTTGGAATGTCCCATTTGTCTGGGATGTCCCAAGGGGGGGGATGGGGGGTCACTCCCAGGTAATTAGATTAATACACCATTCCTGATTGGGTGGAAGTGTGGAGGATTACATTTTAAACGGTCTACATGTGAACTGCATTTAGACTTGACGTGTGACGCCCATACCTGTCCTCGGAGCTGTGCTCCTCCTGCAGGAGCTTCTCCCGGTTCAGCCCGATCTTCTCTAGCTCCTGATTCAGGGCTTCCAGCTCATTCCACTGCTGCTGGACCTTCAGCTTCTCATTCACCAGATCCTGAAGTAATCACAGCCACACCTTTAGTCACATGACCAGCAGTCACACAGCTGCCCCTCCCACAGCGGCCCTTTGATGCGCTACCTCCCTAAGAGTGGCCAGGGTCCGCTTGTCGATGGTGGCCTGTTTCTGTAGCTCCTTGTTCTCCCACTCCAGTTCCTTCACCCTGCCGGCGGTCTCCTTCAGACGGTTCAGCTCTCTGTCCAGGGCGCTGCTCCCCTTCTCCAGGCTGGCCAGACGCAGAGCGCTCTCGTCCAGCGCAGCCTCCTTCAGCTCCAGCTGCTGCCGGAGTCTGCGAGCCTCCTTCTCCAGCTGCTTGCGCTCCTTCTCCGCCTGCGCCAGCTCCTGGTCTCCCCGGCGCCTCTCCGCCTCGAGGCCCTCCAGACGCCTGCCGGCCGCTCGCAGCTCCTCCAGCTCCCTACGTAGCTGTTGGCTCTCCACCTCCGCCTCGCTCAGCTCTCTCTCCAGCCTCTGGGCCTTGGCAGTGCTGTCGTCCAGTGACCTCTGCAGCCGCTGCTTCTCCAAGCTCAGGCTCTGGCAGCTGAGCTCCAGCCGCTCGGCCTTCTTCCCCAGGACCCGGAGGTCGTCGACGTCGCGGCTCAGCTGCTCCCGCTCCCGCTCCAGCTCCGCGTTCTCCTGCTGGACCTGCGACAGCTTTACGTCGGCCGCCTTCAGCGCCTCCAGCTTGCGCCGGAGGTCCAGGTTCTCCTCGGCCAGCTGCTGGTGGTCCTTCTCCAGCGCCTCTAGATGCAGCGCCGAGTTCCTGGCTGCATCGGCCATCTTCTTCAGCCTGCGGTTGTCCTGCTCCAGCGTGGCGTTCTCCTGCCCCAGGGCGTCAGCCTTGTCGCAGGTGATCTGCAAGGCGGCCGCCTGCTTCTGCAGCTGCTCGCGGCCGCGCTCCAGACGGGCCACCTCCATCTCCAGGTCCGCGGCCTGCTCGGCCCGCTCGCGAAGCTGTTCCAGCTCCTTCACCGCCTGCCTCTTCTCCACCTCCAGGCGGGTGAGCTTGCCGCCCGTGTCAGAGATGGTCTGGTGAAGGATGCGATTCTCTTTCTCCACCTCCCGCACACGGGCCTCGCTGTCGGCCTGGGCTCGCTTGCGGAGGGAGGCCACCGCCTGGCTCAGATGCTCCTTCTCCTGCTCCAGCTCCAAGATCTGATGCCCAGACACAGGCTTTAACATCCATATAACATTCACCGGGCAACAAGCACACAGATACAGCCATTAATTTGGGACATCACACCCATTTAACTTGAGGGACCTTCTGTTGTAAAAAAATGTAAATAGTAAAACCATCATAAGCTCCAAACGTTCCTCTTGCCATCAAATAACCTACAATGACTCAATGAGCCTCCATTCATAAGTGTCAAGTATCGGTCAAAAGCCTGGACACACCTACCATTTATAGCCGGTGTGTCCAGACTTTTGACTGGTACTGTACATTCAGCACCACTGTGATAAGGCGCGTTAGCAACAGGCTAAACATGACTGTGCTCATGCACCTGTCTGTCCCTGTCAGCCTGCACCGTCTCCAGCGTCTTCTGCAGCCTCTGCTTGTCCTTGCGCAGCTCATCTCCTAACTGCTCCACATCTTTGGTGGCCTGCTTCTCCTGGTCCAGCAGCGTCTGCAGCCTCTCCAGCTGAAAAAAACGCAAAACGAATAAGAAACCACACGACAAACAACATCGCTGGAATATTCATGAACTTGCAGGAGTTCCACTGATGACTCTGCTGACTGCTCTTCGGAAAGCCTCAGTACCTTCTTGCTGAGACCCTGGTTCTCCTTCTCCAGTTCCTGGGCACGCAGGCGGCCGTCCTCCAGAGAAACCGAGGCCTCCCGCAGCTCCTGGATGGTGCTCTGCAGGCTCTGGTTCTCCTTCTCCAGCTTCAGCAAACGGCTGGACACGGACTCATTCAGCTCGAGCACAAACGATTTGCTGGCTGTTGGCGGAATCAGAATCGTTCCGAGTGTCTGTGTCTGTACAATACCAGTCAAAAGTTTTTGCACACACTGAGATTTTCTACATTTAATTTACAATTTACCAAGAATGCACTCAATATTCTTTATTAAATAAATGTACAGTATGTTCGTCATTTGAATACCTTTATTAGCAAGAAAATGTCATCTTCGATTTATCAAAGCAACCTCCTCTAGCAGTTATAACAGCAGAATTCTTTTCTACAAGGGACATTACATACTGCTCTGTTACATGGGATGAAACAGTTAGCTAGTGCATTTAAAGTTAGTTAAAGGACAGCCTAGAATTTGACTGTGTTAGTTAATAACACAGACAGTTAATAGGATGTCAGACATGCACTGTTACATACTCCTTCCATCTTCTAAAAGGAAACTTGTTTTATTTGACATATTTTCTTTCACAGTTGTTCACTCAATTTTCCAGTGATTAACAGGAATAAAAAAAAATCAGCAGTTTTTGAAATAAGTGGACAAGTGATAAAAACCAGTGGTGTGGAAAACTTTTGACTGGTACTGCATGTAGACCTGTGCATCTACCCAATCAGCTGGGACTTTGGTCTGGCATTGCTACCTACTGTCCAATCAGCTTTATATCTGCCGGTCACACACACAGTATTCTTACTATAGTACATACAGCACCAGACATCCAGTGTTTAATATGCAAATACAGAGTATTTTATACTCATATACCGGAGCGGAGTCATTCCCTAGCTGGGCTTGGCTTACCTAAACTGAAATTGCTGCTTCATTCTTGGCTAATGACCAATCTGTCCATATTGTTTGGTGGAATGAGTCCTGGCTCTTGGCGCCGGTTATGGGCAAACAGGTTTTGTTTATTTCTCCTTTAAGGGCCAAATCAGAGTAGGCAGCTGTATTGAAAAGTCACCTGATGCTACTGTTTGACGCTAACTGCGCTAAGCTATATTTCTGTTGATGTGTCAGGGCTACAAGACGCTGAGGTGGCATCTGCTGATTCACTCCCATTAGGGAATGAAAAGCAAATCAGGCTGCCTGCCAACAAACTGAAGGCAGAGATTTAAGGGTTAAAATAATGCCGCGAATGCTGACTGAAAGATGCCGAAAACAGCCTGGACTGGAGCTGCATACGCAGGCAAACCAGTTATAACAAGGCCTGAACACTGCCGTGCCTGTTTGGTTCGCGTTCAGTCATGTCTTTGCAGGTATGACCGGAAACAAATGTGTCACTACTGTATGCATGCTATTTCTGTAAGTTCTCAATCAAAAACATTTATATTTTATCTAGTTTTATCCAAAGCGACATACAATTGAAAAAGCAGGATCAGACAGATGCGAGAACATTTGGGGGATTAAGGATGTTGCTCAGGGACCCAACGGCGATACTACACTCCCGACCCGGGATCTGAACTGGTGACCTTCTGATCAGAGATAAAGAGTCCCATACCCCACTCATGTGACAGAGAGGGTTACAGAGAGGCTTATCAGAGTTACTATTCAATTCATAAAACTTTATTGACAGCTTATAGGCGTCAGTGAAGCGTCTTGTCTTGGCAGGGTGTGCAGTGGCTGGACACTGACTTTCACTGGCTTCGCTGTTCTTGGCCAGCTGCTCCAGCTCCCAGCCCAGGTGGGCCGACTCGTTCATGCTCTGCTTCTGCGAGATCTCCAGTGCCATGTTCTCCTCCACCAGCTCCTCGATGCGCTTCTTGTCCGCGTCACGGTCCTGAGTGAGGAGAATGGGTGGGGGGAGGTGGGGCTCAGATGTCAAGACCAAATGAGACTCCCGGGGGAGGGGCAGCGGTTTGGGAGGCGCGAGGTCGTGCTCCTCACCATCTCCACGTCGTGCAGCTTGGAGCGCAGATGCAGGTTCTCCTTCTCCAGCTCGTGAAGCCTGTCACAGCGGCCCCGGGCCCCCACCAGCTGCTCCTCCAGCATGGCCTTGGTCTCCAGCAGAGTCAGGTTGTCCTCCCGCAGTTCCTGCAGGTACACCGTGGCGACATTTTAAAGCAGTGTTTCCCAATCCGGTCCTCGGGGACCCACAGTCAGTCCATGTTTTTGCCCCCTCCGAGTTCCCTGTCAGATGGTCCACATTAATGCTCCCTCCCAGCTTCCGGGGAGGGAACAGAAACACGGACTGTCTGCGGGTCCACGAGGACTGGATTGGGACACACTGCCTTAGAGCAACTAGGCACGAAAGACACATTAAGGTCACACACCCAGAGCCTGCAGCTTTACACAGGATGTTACATTTATTTCACAGATGCTTTTATCCAATTGAAAAATTGGGGCCAGGAGCAACTGAGGGTTACAGGCCTTGCTCAGGGGCCAACAGTGACATCACTCTGCCAACCATGGGATTTGAACCAGCAACCTTCCAATCACAGACACAGCATCCTACCCCGCTGGGCCAATTAATTAAGTCTTGCAAGTAGCTTAATGGATTATTGAAACCACAGACAGTGCAGCCTGCAGAGCGCTGAACTGGAGTTTTGTTACATAACATCTGCCGTCCGGGCTGATTGGCTGAGTCCATGCCCCACTGCCTACTGGGATGCCGGGCCCGTGGAGACGGTCTCACCTCCACACGGGTCTTGTAGAAGTGGACGTCGTGCAGCTTCTCCTTGCAGCGGGTCAGCTCAGTCTCCAGCCGGTCCACACGGGCCGCTCGCTCCCGCAGCGCGTCCAGCTCGTCCCGGTAGACCCGGGCGGACCGCACCTCCAGCACCAGCTGTGTGTTCTGCCCGCGGGATGCGTCAGTGATGTTTCATGTGAAATAAAACTCAAAGCACATCTAACGCTAATGCTAATGCTAACAGAGTACAGACACTCCCTGGGTTACGATGGTCTGTCTTACGATATTTCAACTTTACGATGGGTAAATGTCTTTCACCTTCAGTACATTATTCAACTAATTACATGACATATTCAACACTCCATCATAAATTAGGCTTTGTGTTAATGATTTTGCACAACTGTAGGCTTATTTAATGTTTAAGGTATGCTCTAGGTTAGGCTATGATGTTTGTTAGCGTAGATACTGTATTAAAATGCATTTTCACCTTATGATATTTTCGTCTTACGATAGGTTTATTAGAACGTAACCCCCATCGTAACCTGGGGAGAGGCTGTAATGGTCAAGGCTTTCTGACACCTCTATCATGACAACAAGACGTCCAAGAAGCTTCTGCCCTCCTGGGAATCATGTGACTGTAGGTGTGCATTTTATTGCTTTATTGCATTTTATTGACGGTGCATTTTATTTCTACCTAAACTAACCTCTTGCTTGAGTTTTTGGATCTCCATGTCCAGCCTCTCGATCTCGCTCTTGGCGTCAATCAGCTGCTCCGTCTTTTCCTCCCTGCAGTCGGGGCAGCGGACGTTTGACTCGGTGGGTCACCCCTCATCGCACTAACGAGACAGACGCAGGGGGCATGCGGGGTGGGGGGCAGCTATGCCCCATCTGCCCCCAATTTGCTGCTATGGACATGCAGCATCGGGTTCGAGCCCAGCCCTCCCTCACAGGTGCTTCTTCACTAGCTCTCCCGCTGCGGGCCCTTCGGTCAGGGGACGCCAGCTAATGTGCCATTACAGGCTGTCACCTGGGCAGGCCAGACAAAGGGCCACATGTGACAGCCGGCGCCAGGAGACGCTGTCTCCCGGCAACACGCCACACACAGCTGGCACACTGGTGAATATTAATCCCGTCCGGCCTGCATATACGGAACTGAGCCGGAAAATGATGGACATTACGTTCCGATTTCACAGATGCTTTCCATTAAGAGGGACCGCTATCAATGTTGTCACAAATAGTTGCTTCCCATGAAAAACTACATGTACATTTTATTTATTTGTCAGAAGCTTTTATCCAAAGTCACTTATATAGAAAAATCAGGCTCAGCTGGTCCCTGGAGCAATTAGGGGCTCAGAGCCTCGCTCAGGCGCCCAACAGCGCACTGACTCGACTAAGCCTGGGATTCGAACTTGCAATCTCTGATCATAGGCACAGCCTCCTAACCGGCTAAGCCTCACACCACCCACCCCCACTACATGCCAGACTGTGGCAATTTCGGCTACATATGTATGAATCATATGAGCACCATACGGCACGGATTTAAGCACCATGAATCAGCGGAGAACGTTTTCCGGTGCCCGTTAACCCGCCGGCACTCACAGCTCCTGCCGGGAACGCCGCAGTCGGGCCTTGCTGTCCGCCAGCTCCACGGCCAGGTGCTGCCTGTCCTCCTTGCTGAGCGGCACCGCCGGATGCTCCGGGTTCGAGTTCCGGAAGCCGCCGGATATCTGGTGGGACTGTAGGTAGTCCCTCTCCTGGGTCAGCTCCACGATCACCTGGGGAGAGGCGGTGCAGGTTTGAGACGAGCTGCCAAATGGCTAGTGTGGTCTGTTTAAACCACCAGCTAGATTAACTGAAAGCCCAGCTAAGCCTTTCCTGGTCAGACAGGCACGCCCCCTGGTGGCCGCTTAGGTCCCTAACGCCTTGGGCCAGCCCTGCTAATTGAGATTAGTGGGGTGCCTCTGGTTCATGTGTCACATAAGGCAGTCTGAACACGGTGTTGGTGAGCTTTTGTGGGGGGGGGGGTTACTATGCCCAGGCAGGGGGTCACCTCTGCGAAATCGTCCCGCTCATCGATGAGCTTGCGCAGGTGGGACGCCATGCCCCGGGACAGAACGTCCAGCTCCTGGACCGGAAGCTCCGCCAGTTCCATCCACTGCATGTCCAGCACATTCTCCTGGTTGTGGGTCACCTTTCCGAGACAAAGGGAGTCGGTTCGGTGGCGTCATCGATAACCGGTGCCCAGCCCTGATCCCACGCTCAACATTGTTTCTTCGTATACAATGACAGGTTCAAAATGGTATGAAAGTTAAGACATTCTTCTCAGGGATTAATGCAATGGGGCCGGTACTCAGAGACCCTGAAACCATGATTTGTCACTCGGTAAACAGTCACACAATATCCTCATTCATACACTCCCAGAAAGACACTAACATGCGGTGATACATTCATGGCCGCACCTCCTGTATGTGTGTGACGATGGCAGCCTGTGTTTCGATCTCCAGCGACTTGATCTTCTCGATAAACTCCTCTTTTTGCTCACACTGGAAACAAGGAATCGATTCAGCTTAGCAATAACTTTTCATCCAAGGACATGGAGTCATTTAATGGGTAGATGAGTACTAACACAAAACAGAGCACCTGTTTGAATGAAGATGTCTTCACCAGGGCACAGAGAAGCTACGACGTGTGACGGTGTTTACATCATCCATTCCTATCAGCACAGCTAAGCAAGTTCTCCAGGAAAACCCTTCTTTCATGAACTTCAATGTCTGAACAGTCGTCAAATTTATCAGTCTCCTGGAATAACCATCTATTATATAATCTCGTTTTCTTTTCGCTGGATAACCCCAGGGTGGATATTCGAACACAGGCCATTGTTCAGGCATTATGTAAAAGTTATGCAAATGTCTTTGGGCACCATTTCGAGCGACAGGTCTGACAGACTCTGCCCCGACTTGCGCCTATGATCGGCTTCCTCTCTCCACGTGCTCTTAGGCAAAGACTCTCCGTGCTCCAGCCGGTGCAGAAACAGGAAAAACGGGAACCGCTAGCTGCCCCCAGAAGGGGCAGAGAATAAGGGGAAGGACAAGGTGTACAAAAGCTCACGCAAGGGAACCAGACACCACGACACAAATGCATTTCTGAGATGAATTAGTGTTTTACATGCAATGGATCGGAGTTCGTCGTGTCGCTGGTTTGAGACTGAAGACACATCAGAAGTGTGTTTGTATGAGATGAACTTGTTGTGTGATAGAAGTGTCATGGGGACAGACGGTCGATTATAAGTGGGACAACAAGGTCCACATTAGATCACTATTCAGCTACATGCTGTATATCTATAATGTACGGGTTGTTTTGTTTGTCTTATAACAAGTAGCACTGATAGAAAAAGCACAGATTTTTTCGTTATATAGGCAGTCCCCAGGTTAAGAACGTCCGACTTACGGTCAACTCGTACATATACGAACGGACTGCTGTTAAGCCTATTATATTAAAAATTTGAATTAAATACAACGGTTATAATGAAGGGAATCTCTACTTTGTGACGCTTCTGAAAACATTGCACAGCTTCAGCAGCCCATTGGCTCAAGGTACAGTACAGTACCGTATATAGTTACTATTATTATTATTATTATTATCATTTTTTTTGCGACTTAGCTACATACTCGACCTAAACACACACTCAGGGAACAGATCACGTTCATAGCCTGAGGACTGCGTGAACATGTACAATGACAAAGACACTGTATTCTATTTAGCCTCCATTATTATTCACTCAGGTAACCCAAACTCGGAACAAGAAGGTGAAACTTTTTCAGTGCTGGGAGGAGAACTTTCCGTTTGGTCTCCACCTGAAGACAGGAAGCAGTTTGCACTGAGGATGCAGCGGAGGTGGTGCAGTGGGGGGGGGGGGTTACCTGTACAGCACAGCCCAGCATTAACAGAAGCAGCCTCTTCATTTCTTCCATGCTTTTCGCTGTCGGACAAAACAGGAAAATGCAGAATTTAAGGGGGGGGGGGCAGCTATCAGAAATACTGGCTAACAAGAGAAGCCCAAAACCAGAAGCTACATTTCAGGGGTGACAGCAGAGGTGGCGTTTACCACCATTCAAACCATGTATTTGTGTTGCGGGGTCCCCTGTTGGCCACAAACACTCACTACACTACAGGGGCAGAGGGCCCTGAAGTGACTTTTCGATTGGGCCCCAGAAACAACAAGCCTGCCCCCGCACACCAACTAATCCCAAATGACCATTTGCAGCCACATAACGCCTTGTTGGTCTGCATTACGATATGGCTACAGACCTCAATGTGACCACCCTGAACGGAATGCGGGCGTCATAGGGGTGTCTACACATACTCACCGCATTAGACAAAACACCAGCTAACCTATACGGAAAGCTGGGATCAATTTACATACCAACATTCTCGCCGCAGCTATTATTAGTGATGTTCAGAGCGGGAGAAAAAAAAATGTTTTTATTCATCTCAAATCTTAGATCATCAGGATCGCTCAGGGTAAGAAAACGTCAACTGTGTGATTCTGATAAATGTATTCCCTCATACTGACAGGAAGGAACATGCAAAGCGAAAATGTTGGCTGGATCCCAAACGCCATGCGATACGAATGGAAGCACGCTACTGAACACAAAGGGGGGGACGTGCCCCGTGGGTCAGGCGTCCCGGGGACTTCAATATACCGACAGTGCAGTCGGAAAAGAGCCGGGCTGAGATTCAGCCGGACTCCCAACAATCTTGTGGCCTTAAAATGGGAGAGAGTGAGCTTGGATTAAAAACACTTCATCCAGACAAATGCTACGTTCCTCAAATGTTCGCGTGAAGCAGCTACATCCTTCAAGCCGGAATGAAAAAACCCGGCCTTTTGTTTTCCCTGACACAACTTCATTTACGCTTTTGTTTCTTGTTTGTGTCTTGTGCCTGTGGCCAGCTATGCCTCACCTTCTGTAGATCAGGTGAGGCGTGTGACATACTCCTGTTTTCACCCTTGAGAGACCCTGGGGTTGGTTGCATCCATATGATGATGCAGATGCAAGCAAAGTTGCACGGGAGCCACCACAAGAAGGCGCCGCAGACGAGGACGATCGCAGCCTTCGACTGCACTGGCCTTCGACTGCACTGGCCTTCGACTGCACTGGCCTTCGACTGCACTGGCCTTCGACTGCACTGGCCTTCGACTGCACTGGCCTTCGACTGCACTGGCTCCAGACTGTAGAATCAGCAATATTTGCTACAGCTAAGTGTTTCCTGCCGCTCCCTCTTCCTGCCCCCAGTAAGGGGTGACGAGGCACGCATCCTTCCTGAGCACATTCCCAAGCCCCAGACGCTCAGAGGGCTCAATCAGAAGAGAAAATGACTGAACAATAAATCAGTAATTGATCGCCATCTTGGTGACCACCGTCCTTTAACATAAACAAGCCGGTTAAACACATTCCTTTGATGATCGAATCTGCTGGTGTGCACCTCACTGGCCTCAGCCGCTCGCCATCCTTCTCAAGCGCCATTCCAGCTGTGTCACTGCCGTGTCACTGCTGTGTCTCAGTCGCTCACCCGGCCTCCCGCCCCCTGGATGACCCCTCCCACCGCTGCCACCGACTCTCTTCCTTCAGGCCGGCAGGTTCCCCAGGGCCCTGCCACCCCCGCTACCTCCTTCATAGCTTGGTAAACATCATTTGAACCCCTCCAGCCCCTTTACTGCACCCCATGGGCACGTGTAGATATATATAGGAATATATATACATTTTCATATATACTGCTACATATTTATATTTATTTTTAGATTCCACTGTCAATGTCATTTGCACCCCATGATTAAACGTAACTATATTTATGTTACAACATATTTATTTTTATATTTCTCTACCAGAGACCAGGGTAATTCAGATCCAGAAAGTAAAAATCCAGACTAAGATCTTTTGTTTCAGCCTATCAGTTGAGTACTCTGTGACTCTTTATACAAGACTTGTTAGTTGTGATCCTTACCAGTATAACCAGTTAGATGATGGATGGATGGATGGATTGACTGACTACTGTTTTTTGTGTATCTAATTTATTGGCACCACTTCACAATAAGGCTCCCATTTGCCACTTGTAAATGGTAGTAACTCATTAATAAAAAGAAAACGGTGTTATAACTTGTTTAAAATAGTCTGTTAATTATTTACAGTGCTGTGTTTCAACCTAATTAATAACCAGATTATAAACCATTCATAAACTCTTTATACAAGTAGCCTTATTGTAAAGCTGCCCCTGTCACATGGTATCACCCCAGGTGTGGTCTCATGTGCAGCCTGCTTTGTATGTACGTCACACCCTGACCCTGCGGCACAATTATATCCTTCCACCGTTTCCTGCAGCTGAACATAAATAAGGTTGGCAGGTCTACCTGACAGGGGGTCCTTGCTGATGGCCAGCACGTTGGGCAGGTTCATGACAATAAGCTGCTGCAGATTCTCCTGAAACAGAAGGACGGGAACGATGCCGGTTAGGCGGACTGTAGCGGACGCCGGCTTCTGGACCAGTATGGTCACAGCATGTTTTTTAAACCCAGTAAGAGACCAGCTGTAGCATAGCGCTTCGCTCTCACACATGGACTCTCAGAGACAGACAGAGCAGAACAAACACTGGAGACCATGATGGTAAAAGACACTAGATTAGCACACAGGGAGACAGGAAAGCTTGACAAGGACTGACACCTTCTCATTTGCAAAGGGAATGTTCAGAGAAAGGGAGGCCAAACTGCATCACTGCACAAGCCGCTCCAGCCACAGCCACAAATAACCTAAAGAGAAACGTGATTAAACACCCAGAAACCGGCGCAGCATCAAGCAGACAAGAACGAACACATCTGGGAACCACAGGTCCCCTGTTTCCAAACACGCATGCACACACACACACACACACGCCACATTAAAGACACACACAAAGCACAAAGCAGTCCAAAATAAAGATGTTGAACTTCAGGAGTGACATCTATCATTATTCACACCACATGGGCCGACTGTAAAACGTATTTGGACCAAAGGTCTCCACGTCCAAAAAGTATATTCAAAATTACCTTAAAGCACCTGGTTTTTAATGGCTATAAAACACCATTCTGTCTACTGGGGGCTTGACTCATGTTTCGTTAAAAGAATAACATGCTATTTGCTATCCCATAAAATTAAATCATTTCTGTCTCTCTCAATTAAAATAATAGCTTGGCTGCTGAGCTCATGATTTAAGTGGCTTAAAATGTATCAATGAAAATAGCAAAATACAGGTTTGCTCAAAAGTTACTACAACGGAATCCTTCCTCCTTAAGTGTACACCTTCATTCTTTTACCATCATCCATCATCATCCTTCATCATCATCATCAACAAGAACAACAAGATATTCAGGCATTAAACAGGTACTACTGCACACTGGAAGATGCTGATACAGAAACACAGCGAATACATTCGGGCACCGTGACCGTAAGATGATACCTCTGTCTGCTTCATCACGCCGTACAACATAAGTAGAGTGAAATACACGACAGACGGCCAACTGGTCCCTTTGAACCGAATTACACCTGAATATGATCGGATTACACAACGTAAAAAATGAAGCGCGAGAGGCAGATCAGAAGCTGAGGCGTGAACTTAAAGCAGGAACTCAGAGGCGCTGGCGGGGTCACATTACTGCCGGCTCGCCATTGGAGAATAACCCGAGGATATAGGTCACCCAGCCTCGGGCTCTCGGGACCCCACACACACCGGGGGCCACCTGTGCAGAGCCGACGTCCCACCGGAGCGGCCCCCGCTCAGGTGAACCGGCAGCTGCACTGCCGTCATCTTTTATTTATGGCGGGGAGGATACCGATGGCCCTCTGCCGTCTCCAGTGATATACACCCCCACTCCGTGAAAACACATCCCGAAACACAAAGAGCAGGGGGCTCCATTTTTTATGAGGACAAAGGTGGGTTTCACCAACATGTCAAACGGGGGGGTTATTCTGGAGCAGTAATACCAAGACCATGACATCATCCACTTTATCTTCTGCTTTCCCAAAAAATACCTGCCCCTCTCCCACAATAACATATAGCAGCACACCTGGGTTAGCCAAGGATTCAGGGACCTTTTTATTTGTCACATACAAGGTGATGAATAGCAAGACTAAAACCTGCAGTGAAATGCAAGGCGGTCGGATCCATCATAAAAAATAGTAATGGAAATAAACAAATAAAAGAGAATAACAGATACTAAAAAAGAAAGGGCAAAAAAGATCTGAAGAAAAAAAGAACAGGCATGTAGCATAGTCCAAGTAAAGTGGGTGGGGCATATATAAGGCATGAGTGTTCAATTATAACTTGTTGTTGAGTCCAGCCTAATCGTTTCTGGAGGTAAAATCCACCCTCTAATGATGCTAAACAATGAAAAGCGATTGTTGGACTGCAACCACCTTTTTAACCAAATTTGTACAGGAAGAACGGAAAAACTGGAGCTCTTAAACTTGAAGGTACAGGCACAGAAATGCAGCTTTTATAACCTTCATACAGTATCTAATTCAATTCATTTATTTTTATATAGCACCATTCAGAACAGTCGCCCAAGTTATTATGATCTTCTTAGCTCCAGGAAAAACAACCATATTTGCCCTAAACTCATTAGATCATTGGATCATTTGTTGAAGCGGTTGTCCTGCCAGGTAGCTTATTGGTCAGCACTGCGGGCTCCTGCGCCCAGAACTGGGGGTTCAAATCCTGCCTCTGCTCTGCGTGTGGAGTTTGCGTGTTCGCCCCGTGTTGAACAAGCCAGAAACAAACAGCCAGGCTAACTGGCGCCTCTAAATTGCCCATTGTGTGTAAGTGCCCAGCGATGGACTGGCATCCAGTCCAGGGTGCATCATGACTGGACCTTTTCTGCCGTTTCAGCTTGACTGAGAAACAAACACAAAAGCAGCGATCAGCACATCACTCTGAAGATGTAACATACAGTATCTATTTTTGATTTCACAGTGCAGTTAGGCTGAATATTCAAAGACCGATGGCTTAATTGATTTCCTCTCATCGCGGATTAATTTTTTTTAATTTGGAGACCGTTTGCTTTGTCGCACTACGGTCACGTGGTGGAGGTGTTTTCTCAAAAGCATTATTACGTTTGCAAAGCATAGGAGTCGCTGTCATTATCAGAGAAGCTTCAGGAAAAGTAGCACCCCAGCAAGTTCATGTATCACAATAAATGGAGATGATGACCATTTATCCAGCTGGATCTACAGACATGTAGATGTGAGACAAAACCAGCAGCTTCAGGGACCCTAAGGACATGCAGAAGAAAAGCACTTCAGTGCCATGAGAATTTAGAATTTTAGAATTTGGTGATCAGTGCTCATTGTGGACACACCACAGCACACAGTGCACAACAACGAAAGGTGTCATTTAACCCGTATGTGACAATGTGACATAGCAGGAGGCAGCTAATTCAGCGCCCAGGGAGCAGTGCTTGGGGGCGGTAACTTACTCAGGGTACCTCAGTAGTGCCTCGCTGGTCGGGGATTCGAACCTGCAATCTTTCAATTACAAGTGCGCTTTCCTAACCATCAAGCCACCACTGCCCACTGAGGGGACACAGTGAGGTGCAAATTTAGTGTATTAATGTCTGGATTGCAGCAGAGTCGTCCTTAGCTGGAGAAAAGGGCAGGAGACAGGGGCCTCGGACATCACACAGAGCAGCAGTCGGTGGCGCAGAGCGGTCTATGAGAGGCTCATCTGTAGACCACCAGTCGGTGACGCAGAGAGGTCTATGAGAAGCTGATCTGTAGACCACCAGCCGGTGACGCAGAGAGGCCTATGAGAAGCTGATCTGTAGACCACCAGCCGGTGAGGCAGAGAGGTCTATGAGAAGCTGATCTGTAGATCACCAGCCGGTGACGCAGAGAGGCCTATGAGAAGCTGATCTGTAGACCACCAGCCGGTGACGCAGAGAGGTCTATGAGAAGCTGATCTGTAGATCACCAGCCGGTGACGCAAAGAGGTCTATGAGAAGCTGATCTGTAGACCACCAGCCGGTGAGGCAGTAACCCCACAGCACTGACAGAGAATGGGTAGTAAGTGGCTGTTTTTCCCAAAGTCGGTCTAATTCTTTGTGCAGCATTTGTTCAGTGTTACTAGGGGAGATTTAAATGACTTTCCTTTGTAAGGCAAAAATCCTGCAAATGCCGCTGAAGCTTAAAGAACTACAGGCCTATGTGTCAGTATATGTCACCTTAAATGTCACACAGGCTCCAAGGCCTTTGGCACTGTGATCACACACCCAGGGGCCAAAATACTCACCAAGAACTCGAATTTTACAAAAACACAAATCTTGGTATTTTCTAAGAAGCAGGATGAATGTTCAGTTGTAAGTCGCAATCAAATGTTATAGGTCGTGAACACTTATTAAAACAAATATACAACTACAACCATTCAGAATACTCCAAACAGAAATCCAAAAATAAAGACATTAATACATTTTGCCCATATCTGTACTGCAGGGGTCAAAAATAAAGCAACTGTAAACACTATATCCAGCAACAGACTTCATCCTCAGTTTATGACATTGCTCTCAAAACAGTAGCTGAGTCGTTAGGAAAACAAAATCAATCCAAAACCTATTTGACAAATGACTCTAGAAACAAAAGCCTGACAACCACTGAAAGGGCACTTAAGCCTTCAAATAACACAAAATATGATATTTAGCCAATGATATTTAGCCACTGAAGAGTCTGTCAACATTTTTATGATGAAATGAAGCACAGTAATAATGTTATGCTTTTTAAAATTAAGTGTAAGGCGTTAACTTTGACAGTCCTACTGTTAAAGCGTAAAGTGTAAAAATATAAATGATATGATCTAGCTGTCAGTGTCCAAACTTCATCACCAGAAAGTTTTGCAGAACAATCGTCTTCATAAGCTGTTCAGCTTTGTCAGATTGTCTGTGGACCCCCAAGTTCCTAGCTGGGATTGACCACAAAGGTTGTCAAATAGGCTCCAGAGGAAACAGAGGATCCACAGGCGGCTCACATTTCAAGACATAAAGCAGCAGCCTCTAAAGAGAGGAGTCAGAGAGACCGAATCTGGGGAATCTCAGAAACCAACAGCAGCCTCTAAAGAGAGGAGTCAGAGAGACCGAATCTGGGAAATCTCAGAAACCAACAGCAGCCACCGAAAATACTGATGGGGTTTGTGAAAACATCCGGAATGGAGGGAAGATGATGTTTCGCGATATTCAAGAGAAGAGGCCTCTCAATGGATTTATTGCTTCTACCCTAAGAGCTGAAGCTGATGAACACCCGTGCACCACCTGCCAGTCCGGCCTGATGTGCAGTCAGAAGCTCAAAACCAGGCGTTAATTTTTTGCTTTCAAAAGGGTAACGGGACACGTTCTGGTGCCTTCCGGCAAAGCATATGGCCATAAAAGCGGGGAAAAGCACACCGTAAGCAGGAGGGCCACATG